ACAGAGTATACTGTTTCGCCCATGATACCCCCCATGCATTGCCATTCCTGAGGACTCGGGTGTTATTCCTTTGTACCCAGTAAATTCACGCCATATCCCACCCTTCAAACCGAAACACAGCCATGCAAACACAATAATTGATTTTGCAACAGTCCAAGTCGGTTTTTTGTGAGACTCAATCTTTAATTATTACTATTAACACCGAAATTCTATTTCAACTTACGATGCAAAGGGATGGATATTATACCTAAGTTTGTCTGTGGGATCGTAGTGTCCGAATGTATGGTCCAACTAATTATAATATTATACAATTATTATTTTAATTTGACGATTTCCGTTGAACATCAATCTACATTTTCAAATTGGTTCAGCAATTAACTATCCACTGCTAAACACAGACCCCCCCCCCCCTTTGGAGGGTTTTGCCAGTAGTTGCCACGCTTGGCAGGCGACTTGGTTGTTTCTACATGTGCCTTTTTATAATGATAAGACAATAAGCCATTTATACTACAATGAGAGACATAACTGGCAGGTGGATAGACTTGACAAAATTACAGAGGGTCAAGATAATGATAGGTAAGAGGCAACTCAACTATTTAGCTACTGTAGAACCGTAAAAACATTCAGGTTACAATAATGAAAACCACAAATTTATTTAAACTACAAAATATTTTACATATAAACAATATATATAATAGCTAGATAGACAGACGCGTGGCACACTTTTCTCTTTACGATATGTAATTTGTTCTTGAACTCATATTTTGTATGATTATTCTCAATTTACGTTATTCATAATACTACACCAATTTACTCAATGCTTTGAGTGCTCCACGTGGATTCTCTTAACAAATGTATTGTCTGATTTCAAACATCACAGTCTACTATTAAACCGACTCCGAAAAAAAGAGGATTTTCATTGGACTGCAATATATTAACAGAGGCAACGTTGTTTTAAATCTAATTTTTTTCTAATCGCAATAAAAACTATCTTATCTGTTAAACTGAGGCAAACAATAAGAATTTATAAAATTTCATTAAAATCGGATCGACTGTTTCAGAAAATAATATTTCGTGTTATTTTCTGAAACAAAATTATTTTTATAAAAAGAAATATATGTGATTATTTTTACATATTTTATAGGTACATTTTGTGCGTACATTGTGTGATGTTTCTGCCAGTTACTTGATGATTGTTTTTTAATCGGAACGTCCATCAGCCCGTTATATCATTCAAACATATCACACGTCACATATATCATCATATATGTCAATAATGTGATTAAAAAAAATTTTTAACCATTTTTTCTCTTAAACTGTTAACTTATTATGAAAGGCGTTTTTTTTTATCTTTCAAATCTAAGAGGCAAACATAACTACACTTAGGAATCCAACTCAAACAAGAAAGCTATAGATAGATAGACAGACATATTGTCATAGTCGTAGAATACTGACGGATCTTTATATGTAATCTTTGTCAGATCCGTCAGTATTCTACGACTATGACGATATATGTAAATTTTTCGAAGATTTCCATACAAAAATAGTGATTTCATTGCTAGCAATATCGGATACAGGACTTGATGACCTGCGTAACGAAATGGTGGACGCATCACTTTGCGTTAAAGAGTTCGCGTATTCGATTCCCAGTTGGGTCAATTTAGGAAACGAGTTTTTCTGAATTGGCTCAGGTCTGGGTGTTCTAAATTGTACTCGGTATTAATTACCTAGTTTCTTATACCACAGAGTTTGCTACCTTAAGGACCAGGTCATTAAAGTGATTGATGACACTTAAAAAAATCTGGCCAGCAATTCTAATCTGTAACGCTTTACACAGGGATCACGTCGACCTCCAAGCGGGACTAACTAAAGTGACTTCATCCTCACCTAAGCTTACTAGTGCCCCATTAGTCTATATCGATAGCGCAGGAATAGTTACTATTCCATTTACATTTATAAAAAAATGTATAAGTTTACTGGAACTATAGGAATTCATCACGTGTCCTGCCTACAACATTGCTGTAGTGAGAGCGCGCGTGGGAACAGCGGAAACACGTAATCAAGCAATAAAACTGCAACAAAATCGTCTGGCAATCAACATCGCGAATGCATGCACTGATTAGTTTAGCCATCTGTAAAATTAATCTAGGAATGTTGACCCTAATTTTTAATGTACTTACAACGAATTGCTTTTTATTTGACTTACAATAAAGCATTCTAACACTTCTCTAATAGTGACTGGAAGAGAATTCTTTTAACATTAAGTCCGTCTCGTACACATGTCTTGTACTAAATATAATTAGTTTAAAAAAACTTCAAACCAAAAGTAACACTATCGACTAATGAGAGTTGTAAATATTTTTTATTAGTACTAATATTAAAAACATTTGTAAAAAAATTATTGTTAGAAGTTTCGCAAGCACATATTATATTTTAATGTAATAACTTCCGGTTTAACTTGCATATAATAAGACCTAAAAAGCTCGATTAATTTCAGAGTGAATTTGTGATCCTTAATCATGAGCGACTGTGACGCGGACCTGAATTGATTCTCTGTAACTACCAGTTTAACTTGCATATAATTAGACCTAAAAAGCTCGACTAATTTCAGAGTGAATTCGTGATCCTTAATCATGAGCGACTGTGACGCGAACCTGAATTGATTCTCTGTAACTACCAGTTTAACTTGCATATAATTAGACCTAAAAAGCTCGACTAATTTCAGAGTGAATTCGTGATCCTTAATCATGAGCGACTGTGACGCGAGCCTGAATTGATTCTCTGTAACTACCAGTTTAACTTGCGTATAATTAGACCGAAAAAGCTCGATTAATTTCGGAATGAATTCGTGATGCTTAATCATGAGCGACTGTGACGCGAGCCTAATATGAATTTATAAAGATGTTTGAATGTCTCTAAATGGATTAATATATTATTATATATCGATACAGCTAGTATTTAATAAGTTGATAAATAAATGGTAATCATGAACCTTTATAGGAGCAATTAACTAAACCATCACAGATAATGTAATACTGTAACAGCAATGCTGTGTATAAATAAATGAATTAGATAAAACTTAAACAAATTGCTGTTCATTAGTTTATTATATTATTATTATATTAGCCGTTAACTTTCTACTGCTTAACATAAGCCTTCTCCATAAGGGGGATTTTACCAGTAGTCCCATGCTTGGTGGGCGAGTTGACAACCGCAGTTAGGGTTTAGTGACATTTTAAAAGGGACGCTACTGTGCATCTCTTAATAATATTATTAATCGTCTCTTACAACACCCATGGGAAAAAAGGGTGGCCCATTTTATGCTAGAACCCCATGACAATGTTCATTAGTGCCATAACTATAAATGGCGAGTGCTACACAGCCACTCTACACTAACATTATAAATAGGAAAGATTTATTTGTTTGTAGTAGATAAATTAAAAAACTATTCAAGTGATTATAAAGATTCTTTCACATATAAAAAACATTATCAGCGAGTAACATAGCATATATTATATTTTCAAAAATTTTAACTACCACTGGAAGCCAGGTTAGATATAATAAAAATATAACAGAATCATTTTTTTTTTATTACAACACTACCTTGTGAGAGCTCATTGCAATACTTTATAATGATAAAACATAGTATATATTGCACCTTTGTTTATTGCTGTAATATAATAGTGGAAACTTTAATGATTAATAATTATTTACTATATAATATTGTATGTGTTAATTGTACTGTTTGTAATTCCCAAATAAGAATAAAATAAAAATAAATAACATAAAAAAATATATTTCATTCTGAAATCCAGTAAAATAACATTTTACAGACATATTCAATGACCAGTTTAAAAAACAAACTATGTTTCAATTTATACACATATGATTTTGTGCATGTTTGTTTTTGATAGCATTTACATTCCCCTTCATATAAGAATAATCTTTCAATCTAGTAATGATGGTGCCATACCATAAATTGCCTACTTTTTTCTTTTGGAAAAATATTATAGTATACTATTTTTGAATCCAGCATTTAATTTGAACATTAAATAGATTCATTATCCATGCATTGATATACACAAACCAAAGATTCACACTCACATACAAAAGCTACACTAAGATAAAAGTAATACTAAGGTTGTTTCTAAAATCTATATTTATAAAATTAAAATGTCAGTTTAATATTACAATAAAATATGTATACTAAATATCAGTATGTATGAATTAAATTTATAAAATAAATCAGAATAGTTTTAAATAATAAGTAACATAACAAGTGGCTTAACTGTCTAACAAAAATTTTAAATTTAGGGATAGATTTAAAGAATGGCACCTTAGTATTAAACCATTAGATTTTTTTAAATAATTTATTATAGAAGAAATAAAAGAAAACTTTTTTTTTTTGTGTAAAGTTTAAGTATACTAGCTAATTATAAATGTGCACAATTTGGTAAGAACCACTCTATTTTCAGAGTAATTTTTTATTTTCAACTGAATGTCATAGATTTTTTATCAATACTTTTAATTATATAATTAATAATTTAACTATGTATTTATTAAAAACATTTTATTTAAACTAAAAACTCAATGCACTAATTTATTATATAATGTTTAACTAGTAAATTATAATAAAATATAAATTTGTAAGATTTAAGTAAAGAAGTGCTGAATATAATAAAAGTAAAGATAAATGAAATAATTTCTATTCAACACTACCAGTAGAGAAAGATGGAATAAAATTTCACTCTTACCCCCCAGTGAAACATTGGCAGAGACAATTGGAACTGGCTATTTTTTCTACTAGTGCTTTTTTTGTCTTATCTTGTTGTCTTTTAGTTGTTGAGAAACACTTATTACAGATAATTATTATTTATTATTGTAGATTATTTGTTTTGTCTATCTCATTGTCAAATAATATTTATCCATAGAGTTAGCAAGATTGTTTACAAAATAAAACAAGTTTAATTAAGAGGAATATTTAAAAAATGCTTACTCACTTTAGGGACTTTAGCATGAACTCCTGTTCTCACATCTCTAATAGTGGCAATGTCCAGCATTTCCACCTCCAAATTTTGATCAGTCCAAAATAAGAAGAAACCTTTGGGATCCACACGAAGAGTGACTGGCAAACCATTACCAGAATCCTATTGGAAATAAAATATATATAATAGACTACATTAATTAATAACCGCCAAAGTAAATCAGAGATTTTCAAAAGAATTATAATGTAGAATTTTAAAAATCACCTCATCCCATTTGATAAATTTTTCTCCCTCCTGCAAAGCCTTTGACACTTCGATCGGCTTAAAGCCTATGTTGGCAGATCTCGTGCTTGTAGACATCGTGAATAATAAACACAATTAAGCGGATACAATGCCACTATTGCAGATAATATCTGTCATCTTCCTTTTTCTGCACAGATTTATCTGGGAAATCTATCGATGGTACATTATTAACAAACACACCCAACAAACTCGGGCAAACGACTGTGTGATACTAAATAAACAACAACGAACATATTATGATAGCGTTCACATTAAGTACACCTCTACATTGAATAATAAACAACGATTTTTGCCCTCATATTCACGACGAACAATCAGAAAACAAATGTCAAACGAACGACAATCGACAAACGAAAGTACCTACATAGGTGTAGGTAGGTATAACATATCCACTATATTCAACCAATCATGAAACAATCCAAAATCCAACCACAACACAACTTTGTGAATTTGAATGTTACCATATAAGATAAATGATTTAAAAGCGTTAAAACCATAGACAGAGAATGCCAAGTGAAATAAGATTATTATTTTATACCCATTAAATAATTTAAGTGCATTCTTTCATGCACAACCACGAATGGAGTCAACTTTTAGCAGTAGTGCTTCCGAACTGATATGATACCGTAACCTTCAAGAAAAGAACATATTATTCCCTAAGATTTTTGTTTTTAAAAGACCATCAATACACCTACCAATCCTTTATAAACGACGGTGGTCATTTACCATCAGGTGCTGTATGCTAGTTTGTATCTATGTTATAAAAAATATGTATTTTATCACATCTATATTAATTATGAGTGACATAAACTATATATTATTTTCGAAAATTCTATCTCCTCATGTGAAACCAAGCCCAATCACTAATATATCTATAAAATGTTAAAATAAACTACCTGTTACTACGAAAATGTCAATAATATTTTCTAAAATGTTAACATTCCTGCGCTGTAGATACAATTTTATATAAAATAAAAATCCTAAAGAAAATCCTTCAAAAAGTAAAAAGATTTAATAACAACGAATGTGGCTTAGAAAGAAATGCCTCTGTGGCTGCTCCAGTATCATCTTTGTCTTACAAGCGTCAATTGATGCAGAATCATCATTTAGTAAGATCATGTATAGTTCTATGTGCCTATTAATATCTTTAATCTATGCCATAGGTACAAGATTCATCTGCCTTCAGTCATACTGGCAATCTAGCAAATGTCGGTCTGACTGTCAAACAAATATCAAAACTTGCAACGGATGTTGTATTTGGGATGCTGTATACATGAGTACCATGATAGTATTGCTAGATTAAGTATTTTTTTCTCATTTTTGGGTACTAGTTTTTCTAATTTTTTTTTAGTATTTTGGCGGTAAATGAATTAGAAAAGGGTAATTTTTTTATAAATTTTGATTAATCTGTCATATTTCCATTCTAAAATTATTAAATTATAAATAATAATACTAAAACAACTAATGTATATGTACATATATATATAAAAGATTTAATTTTTACCACTAAACACTTGAAAACTCTGTACAGGTATATAAGGTACATAATTACTGTAAAAGATATGATTGAAAGTACATAACGAAAAAATAAATTGAAAAAGTAGAAACAGAAGGAATAATCTTTTTTTGTCTAAAAGACGTAGTGAAAACGATACAACTTAGTGATAGGTTAAAAATAAAAATCCTGAAATCCGTATCGATTTTAAGAAAAATATTTGATATTTAGGTAAAAATCAAAATTCACATTTGGCAACCCTAATGTCTGCATGCATTTATTTATTATTCAACGGATCTTATCAATTAACCTTTAATAATTCTTTATAATTTTTTTTCTTTAGTGCACTTAAACAAATAATAAACTAATTCTCTATTCAACTACTGTATTAACAGCTCATTTTACTGTATTAACACTTTATATTTATTGAGATCAAAAGTGTTTTTTTATAATGTCTGAATTAGAAGTTTCTAAAGAAACCGGCGACGGCGATAACAAACTTGATTCTTGCCCTAGGAAACGAGTACGACACCGCAAGAAACAATTATATGAGAACATATTAAAACAAATGGAATTTTACTTTAGTGACGCAAACTTAACGAAGGATAGATTTTTAGGAGAACTTATAAAAACTGACGCTTATGTGCCTGTTGAAGTTTTTCTCAAATTTAACAAAATTCGTTCGATGACACAAGACGTTAACGATATAGTGAAGGCAATGAAGAACTCCACTTTACTTGAATTGTCTGATGATAAAACAAAGGTATGTAGATCAGTGATTTTGTGCAAGTGCAGTTTATAACTGATGAACTTTTTTGGTTTAGTCTTCAAAAAAGTTAATATCCCTAGGTAGTATTTTATAAAATGATTCCGTTTATTTTTAGGGGGCATAGGTTTTTCTGGGGACTTAAAGTTAAAAGCGTAACTGAAAGGTCTACTGTAGTTGGACATAGTTCACACTTTTTTAAATTCACCCAGATGTCTATCTTTCTGACTGGATGAAAATATTAATAATTATGACTCATGGCTCTGTTGCTAGCAATATTCTCTTATCAAATTGAGGTCCATACAATGTCCCTTAGAAACCATTTTAATATATTTCTGATGAATTTGTGGTTTAATTTGATCCTCACATATAATTTCTCAGTGTAAACCTTTAACACACTTGTGATTATAATTTCATTTTCCTGTAATAAAAAATAAACCATGATTACTATCTTTATATGTAATGATAACTTGATTTCAATGACATTGATTTTTAATCTGACATATAGCAATATTGGCTCTTGTTAAAAAAAAAAAAACTAAAAGAAATAAATAGACATATATAAGATTTTTTTTTTAATTATGGTTATAAATGTCAATTATGCTCTTTCACCCCATATCTTCAAACATGACATCTTTTAACTATTATTGTTGGGGTAAATGTGATAAAGCACCCAAAATGACAAGAAACATACTTTTTTTTCTATTTTTTCCAGATTATGAGACAAACTCCAGTTCTTCCTTATGATGCAGACCAGAGAACAGTTTATGTGGAGTCTATACCAGTCACTGCAAGCAGAGAGTGGCTACAGAGAGTTTTTTCTGATTATGGTCATGTAGCCTATATCTCTTTGCCGAAGTTTAAAAATTCACAAAGAATAAAAGTATGTATTATGAAATTAATTATTGCAGTATATAAAATGGATTCTTAATTCTATTCAGGATTACATTTTAAATATTAACTTTGGTATTGGAATGTAGTGTAGGTGTTTGGTGTGTGTGTGTGTGTGTATGTAGTCCTAATTTTTTTTTTCCCTAAAACGCATAATATATCATTAAAAAATGTTGTTTGTTAACTTTAATTGATGTCTCAATTGTAGTTTGGGTATAGTTCGGGGGTTCCCAAACTTATTTTGTCTACTGCCCACTTTGAGATTAAATAATTTTTATTACCCTCAATTTTTCATCTACTTAAAAAACTACTATTACTTCAAGATCAACAAATCACCCCCCAAGCCTCTACACAATGCCCCCATTTTTTTTTCTGGGTCTCTTCCCACATATGTAACACAATTAAGTATAAAATAAGTTAATTGTTATTTGATTGATTTACTTAACATTAATGTACAATACACAAATATGAATTAAAACTAAAATGTGAATAAATATGAATTAGTTGTCCTAATAGAATTTTACAAAAGTGATTTATCCATTCACAAATAAAGGCACAAACAATAGTCATATTTAATTAAAATTATTGGTTGGTTTGACAATTTTGAAAGAAGAATATTTATGAAAGATATTTATTTAGCATGAATGAATAAATGAATATGTCACCAGGGGCTACCCTAGATAGATGTATGTCAACCAACAAGGTGACATGCTGAAGGACCTAATTAAAAGTAACTAGTGAGCATGCATGGAAAGATTGATGAATGTGGAGGAAGCAAAAGAGGTTTGTTTGACATAAAACTTATTTTAATGTAATTTTTTTTATAGGGTTATGGCTTTATAGAATTTCATAAACCAGAAGATGCACAAAAGTGTATCAGTACATTTACCAAGATGGGCTGTAAGCTGCCCACATGCATGCCTCCCGAGGAACTGTCATCTATAAAGATGTTTTCTGTTGAAGAACCATTAGATGCTGTATCTTCTGATAATAAAGAAGAAAAGGAAGAGAATGAGCCACCAAAGAAGAAAAGCAAGAAGAATAAAGATAGGAAGCTCCATAAACACTTTGAATTGAAGTTAGAACATGAATCTGATAGTGAGAAGACATTGGTGACACCTAGTGTAAGTTTATTTTATTTATATGATACATATTATCACTCGTCATACTTATATTTGTGAATATGGAAAATATTTAAGTGATACAGTGCTCCTTTTATTTCAATAATTTAATTTTCTCTTGTTCGAATTTCAGAATCATTCTCACAGTAGTACCTAAAAATCAGTTTTTTGCTCTCTGAGTAATATTGTGCACTGAGCTATGAATCATTTAGCATTGCTGAGGCACACACGTGAAAAAAGTACTTATATATAAAGAGTTATAATTATACCCATTGATAGCACTTTGTATCAATATTTGTACTGTTTTAAGGTGTTTTTGTTGTAATTGTATTTTCAGATGTGTACTAAAGATGTCTATATTTTTTTTATCTATATATCTATCTATCTATAAGTAACTAATTGTTTCCTTTTTAGCCAGTTAATAATTAAGGAAAATGTTTTACAAGCTTTCTATGACACTAAAAAAAAAATACATGTTAGAGACAAGTAGTCATATCAACTATAAAACCTACTTATTATTGTAATTAATTATTTAATTACATTTTATATTGTTTTCAGGAAGAAAATAAGAGTATATCAATGTCAACTGTAAGTATTGTTTGTAATTTTATTTAAAACAGATTGCAAGTGTGTAGCTGTAAATGAGAATCTACCATGAGATCTAATTCTGAATTTTCTGGTCTAAAATTTCATATATAGAATGAACTTGATTAGGACCGAAAGTTTTTTTTTTTTTTTTTTTTTTTTTTTTTTATATTACTTAGAATTACAAACAACCTGACGGCCCACCTGATGGAAAGTAGTAACCGTCGCCTATAGACATGAGCAGTACCATGGACATAATAAGTATACTGTTTCTGACATTCAGGACTCAGGTGTTATTCCTCTGTACAATTATATGCAAACACAACTGCTTCACGGTTGAAACACGAATGGGACAGAGGTCGACTTTTGTACAAAGTCTCCCTCTGGTAATATTTATTTATGGAAAGTAATATTTTATTGGTTATAAATTCTACACAGAATTCTTTCAATTATATCAAGTTCTAGTTTAGCTTAGGTCTGATCTTTTGGAAAAAATTTCATAGTATGCAAACAAATTTATAGCAAAGCAAGACATACTATTCCATCGCCACCTATTAAATAAATAATTTATTTTTAAAATAAAATGTTTTTTGTAGGAAAGCAAGTCATTAGATGAACAAGCCAATGAATCTAAAGATGAACTAACCAGCCAGGACGAAGGCAAAGATGAAAATCAAGAAGTACAGAAAAAGGTGAAAAAACGTACAGCCAAAGAGAGGAGTAAAGCAAAAAATGGTTCAAATAAAAATGAGGCACCAAAAGGCGCGTTATGGGGACTGCAAGTTCTCTCGAAGTCCGAGTGGAAAGCTCTAAGAAATAAGTATTTGAATCTACAAAGAAAATATATGAAGGAAATGAAAGCAAATCTGCAAAATAAACAACATACCTACTCGAGCATTCCAGCGCCAGCTGCACCTTCAGTGTGTGCTGAGCCAGGTAATTTCTTTTAATTGTTAAAAGTTTCACAAGCACATAAATATTAATGGATGCACGCTGAGAACTGAGGCGCGCAATCAGGCTCGCGCTCGCATCACAGCCGCTCATGATGAATGAAATGAAATGAAATTTACTCATAAAAAAAACATAACTGTAGTTTCTTAACTAATATTAATATTATAGTTTTATAAGGGTATTCTATGCCTGAACCACACGGCCATAATTAATATAATTAATGCTATTTATTGATCAAACTTAAAAATGTCATTAGGGGTTTGAATACTTAACTCTGTCCTTGGTAGTTAAGCAATTAGTATTTCTAAAACACTAAAGGTATAAATATCTATACATGGAAGAGGCAACTAAGGGAACTAAATAGTCGAAGGATGAGCAGCATTATCCCTCTTAAAACATAATTAAAAGCAGTTGTCTAACCCCCTGCCAGCTGTTGCCCCCCCCCCTCCCCCCCGTCCTGATGGGGGAGGCTTATATTCAATAGTAGACAGTTAACCAATATGATGATGAGTAGACCTGGAAAAGATTGTTATTAAGGATAAGGTCACCCATAGTTTTCGCAATATAACCTTTTCTTGTAATTTCTTTTTTGTATTTTTACTAAGCCTATTTATTATTCTAAACTTTTTGGAGGGAACAGTAAGGAGTATCTGTTTAATATAATTGTGACATAAGAGACAGATAAAGTCTGCTCTTTATGGTTATAAGCTTTATGCTTATTACAACATTTTGACATTTTCATTAAATTGTTAGAAAAAATATATTTGAACAATACTATTGTTGTTTTCAGACAACAACACACTGGAAGAGAGGAACAAGAATATAACGCCGTTCGAAAGGATACCAGGTGTTTTTGTTAAGGAAATTCTTCCTGAACCCTGTTTGGATGTGAGACTCACTAAAAGAACTGTAAGTGTATTAATTATATTTTGTGTATTACCATTATTTCATGTTGGCATATTTAAGATTATTTTTTAGGGAAGGCCTGCCCTCTTAGAATGGTCCAATATGTGCTCTCAGATATCTTTGAGCTGAGAGGTCTGCTTTCTTCCTGGGATGGATACAGCCCACCCTGCACCACACTAACTACTATTTAACATAAGTCTCCCTCAGAGATAGAGACTACCCACACCCATTGGGGGGAAAGGGATTGTTAGTAATGAGATTTAATAGCCTCATTACTAGCAATACATCAGGTCGACCTCCACGTGGTTCCCCTTGGAAACCATAGTAGCTAATTCTTGTTCAATTGGTCACTATGAACCGACTGACCTGCTTTCATACTCACCTGTCACCCTTCTCTGGTGCCCTGCCAGTCTATACCAATAGCGTAGATGGGGTTACTATTCCATCTTCACCCATTAAAAAAAACCCCACATCCATTGACTCCCTACAACACATCTGAGGTTGTTGCTCCATCTAAGTAACTAAGTTATGTTGCTTTGCACCTCATTTGTCCTTTTTTTTCCATCGATAAATAGTACTTCGACCTATATGGCTAACCCAGTGCAACTATAATGCTGGGCCATTACAGAAATTTTGTATAAAGGTGCAAGATCGCAATGCAAGCCGTGGGAAATAGCTAGTAATCGAATATACTCATATGTAAAATGTTTTACTACAATAGCAGAGATAATAGTAAACAATCTGCTAACGTTACTATTGTGTTTTTTTTTTATTGCTTTACTAAATTCGAATTCACAGTCATTGAAACGGAGTTGGAGTAGTTATTATTTTCATTTGTGTGTATAATTAGTCTGTATTTGTGTTAATTAATCTATAAATATAATTATAATAATTTACAGATAAGAAGCAACATTCACGCTATGCATGTGGATGTAAAAGAAGGACAAACTGAAGTTATAATTAGATTTGATTCTGCAAAAGCTGCTGACGAGGTAATTGTGTTTGGATTTATTTTTTTATTTATATTGTTAGATTTTCACAAGATATTTTTGTAATGGATGATAATGGAATGGTAACCACGCTCGCGTTAATGGTATACGCTAGCGGGGTACCTAGGGAGGGATGACTGGTGAAAATGACAAGGCAGGTCAGTTAGCCCATCGTGATGAATGCACCTGGGATTCAGCACCACGGTTTCCAAGTGAGACTTCGTTAAGGTAAACCTGACAGGGGTATACTGCTAGCAAAGGAACATTATGTTTAATGGGTGAAAATGAAATGGTACCCCGTCCCGCCCGCGGTAATCTTCCATTGGTGCCTCGTCGGTGTATCTATCGGTATAAAGATGATAGGTGAGAATGAATGCAGGCCAGTTGGCCCACCTTGATGAATTCGGCAAGAATTAACCACGATGGTTTCCAGGGGAGACCGCGTGGAGGCCGACTTGATAGGGTATATTGCTAGCAATGGGGTCATTTGACCTCATTACTAACAATCCCTTTCCCCCCAGCAAAGGGACGTAATGCTAAACAAGATTAAACCTGTGCGCAGTACTGTGCGAACTCGAGCAACGCGCGTGCGCTGTCGGGCGCGGAGGAGGAGGAGCAGTGGTCGCGGGCGGAGGGCGGGCGCGGCTGGCGGCGGCCGCGGGGCCGCCAGCGCCTGGCCGCGCGCGCCGCGCCGGCGCCCGCGCAGCGCGAGTGACCTCCGCCCCGCTGCGCTCCGCGGGGCCGCCAGCGCCTCCGCGCGCGCCGCGCCGGAGCCCGCCGCCCCGCAGCCCACGCACACGGCTTCGACGACGAGTGGTACTAGCGCTCGTCCGCGCGCCTGGCCGCGCGCGCCGCGCCGGCGCCCGCGCAGCCCGCCGCCCCGCAGCCCACGCACACGCACATACGCTTCGACGACGAGTGACCTCCGCCCCGCTACTAGCGCTCGTCCGCGGGGCCGCCAGCGCCTGGCCGCGCGCGCCGCGCCGGCGCCCGCGCAGCCCGCCGCCCCGCAGCCCACGCACACGCACATACGCTTCGACGACGAGTGACCTCCGCCCGCGCGCGCCGCGCCGGCGCCCGCGCAGCCCGCCGCCCCGCAGCCCACGCACACGCACATACGCTTCGACGACGAGTGACCTCCGCCCCGCTACTAGCGCTCGTCCGCGGGGCCGCCACTCCGCGCGCGCCGCGCCGGCGCCCGCGCAGCCCGCCGCCCCGCAGCCCACGCACACGCACATACGCTTCGACGACTTATCCACGTTTTTGAAGCGTTTATATCTTTCAGCGTTCATATCATATATTCTTTAAGTGTGGTGACGTCGCATTTACCTGTTTATTTTCAAAAACATTTTACAATTTTTCTGATTAATGATTTCAAAAGTTTTCAGCTAGTGTAAGCTAGAAATAATGCAAATAAATTATTTATCTATCTATGTAATTATTAAACTTACTGTAAATTTAGATTTAGATAACAAAAAAGTGTTCATCTTTTTTAAATGTAGCAATGTTTTAGTGGTAAATTTATATGTGATGTATTCTATTATTAACATTTTAATTCGCTATCAGAACACTATAAATAATCGATCACAAATGTAAACGAAACATTAAAAATGTTAATTGATTTTTAAAAAATGGCAAATAATTGCGACGTTGCCACACTTGAGTAAGCAAAAGTTATGAACGCTCTTAATATTGCGTGCAGATCACGTGGTTGTATATAATTTACTGAAATTGTTGTTACTTTGTAGAATTCCATATCACCTGTCGCCCAGTTAATTAAAATTATTTCGTTTAATCCCACTATCATTAGTGTAAGCTAAAATTTTATACTAAAAATTGATTACTATTAGTGGAGGTTCCATTATCCTGCCTGTTAGCCAACAATCTTTGACCGTTATTACGTCTACGCTCATGTTGCGACACATGCGTCACCTCTAAATGTAGCATCGATCAATGAATCGATCGCTGTTCGGAGTCTAGTGTTGACTGTTTTGTTACCAGACCGCGAATGACTAGTTTTCTCTCGCTTGTCTTCTCACAATCCCCCAAAGGGGGGGGGGACTCGTCCAGGGCTGTTTACTCCTCTCGAGTTGTGTCGCCACCGCGCATAACCATGCGCAGATCTTTGTGTGGAAAATATCTTCCGGCAATCCGGGGTAAACCCTGGAAGTGGCAATCGGCTCGCTCTGTGCGGTCTTCGCCTGCCGGGTGAGACCCCATGACGGGAGGCCCCGGCAAACTGCCAGCGTATAAGCAAGTTATATGGCACTTGCCGTCAGTCGGAGTCGACTAATTTTCGGCCACGTTACTGTATTTATACTATAAACTTTATACCAAATTTTAAGAAGAAAATGTAAGAAAATAAATTTATTCATTCATTTAAATATTTTTAATCAACTGATCAGCCACATGGTAGTAGTCGGTAACTGTCGCACGAACAATATTCGAAAAAATTGTATTGTTGTATCGTAAAGGTTTAAAAGCAACTTTGTGGTCCAAAGAAATTCTATCGTTATATCGACACTTCATGATGAATAAATAGTAAGTTTTGTACTTTACGAAGTCTGTTAAATCAAAAACTATCATTTTGCCCGTTTTATATACTTTCCCGATATAAAGTTGATAAACATCACAATATCACTGTACTCAGAATTGTCAATATAGAACTGTGAATTAGTAGTTTAAGTAAAAATAATAAAATATTACGTTTTAAAATTGCATTTTATTTATTACACTTTCACTGCAGGATTTTGATTAAAAGTTTTTTAGTGATACCAATTTTCTTGATCAGTTGAGATCCGAGTACTAACACAAAGATTCCTTAGTTCCTACCATAAATTACCTATCTTGAATCTATGGTACGTAGTACCTACCTTGTGTTTTCGAAGTAATGGTAAAAATTAGAATAAAATGGTAACCCCATTTGCACTTTACGCTGTATATATCAGTATACGTTGGCAGTGCATCAATGAGATATAATAGGCAAGGATATAAGCAGATCAGTTTGCCTATTGTGACGAATTTCACAAGAATTAATCATGTTGATTTTAGGCGGAACCACGTGGAGGTCGACCTGATATGCTATATTGCTAGCAATGGTGCTATGCGACCCCATTACTAACAATTCCAGTCTCCCCTGCCTTCGAAGGAAGATCTTAATAATACAATTTTTCTTTAAAAATGAAATTTATTACATCAAATAAATGCAACATAGAAATCAGTCTTAAAAATACGTTTTTAAAATAAGTAACTTAACAATACAGGAGGCACTGGCACATTATTTATCAAAAATGCATTTTTCTTACAATCTAATACATAAAGTACAAATATAAAAACATAGCTTATACTAGAAACCTGTATATTATTACGACAACCTTTTTTTCTGTGCTGTATTTATATTCATAAATTATTTATGTCCTTCTTCATTACATATTATACACAGATACAGAAGCTAGTTTTGGAGTCTTAGTTGAAATTTTAGCACATTTGTAAATAAAGTAGGAATAATTGTTCTTATATTATTATATTATGTATCCATAAAAAAAGTTACACTCTCAATTATTTATATTGTATCTTATAAACATTTATAATTTAAAATACTGCTATTATAAGTACTTGTAAGTCATTTGTTTAAAAAAGTTACACCCCTCTCATTTATTGAGTGCTTATATTGAATCTTATGGAGCAAACATTTATAATTTAAACAAAAAAATCAAGAAAATCTATGTCAAGACAATATTGTTTTTTTCGAGTACATTGTATTAAATATATAAACAGAGGGGCAACGACAATCATCTTGTTATAAAAATTCCATTACGGTGACCGAACACCCCCCTATTCGAGTTCCCAAAAACCAAATTGGTACTTCGGGGGCGGCATTTGGGGGACATAAATGAGATAAAAAAGCTACGACGGGGCAGCTGAGAAACCGACAACCAGAGGACTTTCAAGGAGCCTTCTCACAGTGGAAACGGCGTTGGCACAAGTGCATTATGTCACAGGGGGAGTACTAAATAAAATTGATACCTGAATAATTGTAAAATAAAATTTTTAAAAAACTTTTATGACAAAATATATAAACAACATATCTTGTTATAAGAGAAATACCTTAATACAAATAGGTATGTCATAAATTGTATTAAAATTTATTTATGACAAAATAACATGTAAAATTGTTGAAAAATGAACATTCACAAAAAAAAGAGCACCATAATTAAGTTAATAATATTGTGATGTAAATCAATAACCTAAATTTATATCATATTAAAGTCACCCACCATTGTAACTATATAAAGTTTTTGAAGATTTTTATTGCTTAAATGTAAATGTAAGATCCATTTAATCTAATATATCAATTTATAAAAACTAAGGCAAATTTTCTAAATTCAAAATAAATTGGGCTCATGTCTTAAAGGTAAAAAAAAAGTAGTTAAAATAGTCACTTTATCATGTGAATCATTCATTTCATATACTCAGTCGAATTTAATAAATGTGCTAAGAATGTAAAATTTAATAGGCTAGATTATTTGAAATAAAAGGCTCATATAGTATTGGCAAAGTTGACTTCTGTCTTAAAAAAGCCCATCTTTATTAAGATTTCAGGGGTACAGGGCATCCAGGTGCAGGATCTTAGGGGGGCGTTGTATTAGCCACGTCCTCCGACGTAAAAAAATGCCAGAGTTTATCCAGGTGATCGTCAGTAGTTACATTCTGCCCCAGAATATGCAGTGTCAAAAGAAATAGTTGTGCACAAAATTGCACTTAATACCTAATAATAAAATGAAATAATTACTTCCACAAGAACAGTTTTAAAAACAATAAATGAACGTCTTTTAAAATTATTACATATTTAGGTTAAGTTGGGTAGAGGCTATACATGCAACGTAATATAGCATCGTTAATCTCATAAGTCTAGTCACATGGGTGGGTGTATTTCTTAATACCTTCCAAGAAAAACACTAAGTATCTAATCAAAACATATCAAAAAATTATGAAAAATATATAAATATCACAACGATTAAATGTATCATGTATACATAATTATGGACTACGCCAGATTAAATGTTATAATGTACAAAAGAGGTAGATTTATGCAAATAAATTAAACGTTAGGATGCTTCCATATGTCTATGGACAGTGACCGGGGCTATAACACTATTTTTGCCGCATGGCAGAACCGTTACACTTAGGTCACTACTTTTAATTAATCTAGGCTTAATTTTAGCTGGAAGAGGATAACTTACATCAGACTTTGTATCATCTGATAGTACAATTGGATCATTCACTGAGAAACCGGTCGCCTCAGAATCCTCATGAGGTGTCATAGTGGAATAACCGTGATCTGAGCCGCCGGCCGTATGCGCTCGCCTGTACCCTGTTACAACCCTGTATGGCGATATTGGAGCTTCTATTTCCATAGCTGGCAGCAGTTTGTCCTGGCCAGACAGGTCGTGCATATCTTCTGATTGTAAATGACTCATCTGAACATCGGCATCGTGCCAAGTCTCGGCTGGACCATCTACATATAAATTATGGCAACTAGCGGTAGTGACATTCTGTCGATAGCAGTAAATGGCAACAGCTATGACTAAACTCACAGTCACTATACATCCAGCTATGGGCCCTATGGTTGAATAGCTACCAAAAGCATCTCTATTTACGTGACCGAATGTACCTTCTCCATAAGGAGTTAGAGCACCCAAAACACCATTAAAACATGTCGATTGCGATGTGCAAAACGGAGCTGAAAGTGGCGATCGACCGTCAGTATCTACCTGACACCATTCACAACCTAACACACCCAAGCATGATGAATGTGTCAAGTAAGTTTCACATTGGAAGTCAAAGCATGTTTTCAAATTTTCTGCAAAGTTATGAAAATAGTGAGATTTATGATTATTGTTTTCTGGCATCATGCCACAGAGAGGTATGTCTTGATTGAATCTAGATACATTGGCATTAGGGCACTCATATAATTCAGAACTACATTCACAAGGGCATTCACATTCTGTTTGTTCCATGCGATTACAGTTAAGGCAGAGACGATCGACCATACTACAAGGACAAAACGCACCAACACTGCAGGATGCGTTGACAAGACCAATAAAAGCGTTTGTGCCAGGAATTGCAGCTATATAATAATGAACACAATGATCACCTGACACAACATTAGAGAGCACATTTGGCAATGAAGTATTAAATTCATAAAACCTTTGTATTGTTTTATCATAGAAGTTATTACACAACCTTTTGATTACAAAATCTTTATGGTTCAACATATCTATAGCTATCATTGATTCTTTATGTGTGATATGCTGTTGTTCTATGGGACCAGAACTGTTTGGATCCATCAATCCAGGATGGGACACTAAGTAACCTCGATTATTCATGATGAAGCATTTCACATAAGACATAGCACATAGAGGTAAATTATCAATGAGGAGTTTATAAAGGAATCCCATTGTTACATCCATTGCAACTACTTTTGTTGGTTGAGAAGGACTATTCACTGCATATGAAATGCTCACAACATATCCTGCACCACCAACATCTAAATTTGGTGGAGTTAAAATAATTTTTCCTGGGTGCTCTATTGCATATGTGTACCAAGGTCTCTTAACAGGTTCGTAATCATATTCTAGCACAGTTCCAGGGAACATAACCAATACGCCACTGTCTGTGACAGCATATCTTCGGACTATATATTTAGAATAAGCCCCATGTAAGTGCTGACGTTTATAAAATGTTAATATAGGATTTAGGTAACCAACATCCTGCTGAATTTCATTCTTTAATCCTGGGTTTGAAAGCAAACCATAAGCCAAACTTTTTAAATAAGCTAAATAATTCTGCATGTACGTGACTGCTTCCTGACCATCACCCATATCATAGAGATAAGTGAATGGTGACTGAAAACTAGATGGGCTCAAATATACTGTTCCCTGGTCTATAGTTGCAATCTGTTTAAAATGTCTACAAATTTTACCAGTTTTTGGGGGAAATAAATCTAATCTATGGAACAATATTTCTTTGTTGCTTTTAGTAAAATATATGTTGGTCTTATTGAGAATGTTTGATACTCCACTTTCAGACACAATACAAACAATATACAAATCCTCAACCCATTTCCATGAATAAATTATAGATTTGGTAGAATTATGTTTGGGGACTGTGTAATTACCATAACTATTAGATAACATTTCTTGCTTTACTATATATATAAAATCATATGTCTCAATATTCTCAAGATTTGTAAATTTAATTTTTTCAGAGGCTGTTTCAGGTCGTGGAAAATACGTATGCATGAGTACTTTGCCTGAAAAGTCCATAACAAATGCTCTCTTCTGTATACTCACACCTTGGAAGTAAACAATATCTTCAGCTAAATCTGACCAATAGAGGTCCAAACCTAAAACTCCATTGATTGTTGGTATCACTAGTGATACCATGAAATCTCTTTCTGTGGCTTCCCAGATTGGACCAATAACTTTTAATTTCATGCTCTGATAGTTACCAGGCAGTAATGAAATGAATGCAGATGCTACTTGTCCAATAACACCACTGTCATTTATATGCACTCTCATAACAGAATGGTTGTTTGAATGATTGTGCCATTTGTCAATATGTAGTATACCCAATGAACTATTCCTATCTGCTTGATTCTCATAGATCAATCCTATTGCAAATTTCATATTATTGTCACCATTTGAGTATGGAAATATTTTGAGCCATGTTTCATTTTTTAATACTTTTGTATCAGTTAAAAAAATAAATAACTTATTTTTAGGCAGAGGTTTAAGAGTCAAAAGATTATTCAACTCTTGACTGATGGCTAGTGGTGACACATTTGATGGTGCATTATCTAAACTTGCCAAGTACTCTCGCAGTAAAAGTTTGTTGTTTTCTGTAGCATTGCCCAAATCAGACACACCATCATTATTGCAAGTATCTTCAAATTTAACAAAGTCAGTTGTATTAGTCATTTTCAATGCTATATAGTCAGTACTTTGCAGTGCATACGCTGTCTCTTTTGCCACACTGACAGCATGCTGTAAAGAATCTGCTTTCATACTATTGTCTACTATGAAAACTACAAGTTTTGGCTCTGGATGTATAACACTATGATACAAATACCTCAAATGTGAATGGGGCATCGTAGTACAGTCTTTATCAGTTGCATAATCCATATGAGACAAAAAATACTGTCTCTTAACTTTTAAATCCTTAAACCTACTACTTATCTTGGATGTAGTGTCCACAACGGGCAAATTATTGTACATATTAGAACTTTTAATAAACACTGACTTACGAATAGAGTTGAATGGACATGGATGCGTGTAGGACGGAGTGTTGTTACTACTGGTAACATTTTTCATGATATCTTGAAGTATGTTTGCCGCAGTAGAAATCTTGTAGCTCAACTTATCGGCAATAATAGACAATGTGTCATTATCTGAGAATTGATAGTGGTTTGTTTTATGCGCTGACCTTATTTCGAAATGTGCTGTGTACTCGCTGCCGAGTTCGTTGACAACAATCTCGTTAAATTTTGTCGACAATGATTCCGATAGTTTACGTAGACACAGCTTGTAGTCCCCACGGATGTTAGTTCTGGTACAGTTATCATTTTGAGCAACAATTTTAGTAATCCCAAAACTTGTAATCAACAACAACAGCGACAGATACTCCATGGTGTCGGCATTATCTTGAATAAATTCACAGATGATCACACGTTTTGCTGTTCGCAGATATATTTAATATAAGTACTTAGCATAGTTTCCATGTTTTTTATGTCTAAGAATTTCTTCTAAAACTATATTTTAGCTAAAAACAATAACAAAACTTATGAACTAGCTGAACTAGCCAAAGCCAAAGTGACGTTTAGCTGTCAGACTGTGTTTGTTTCAATAAAAAATGGCGGAATGCGTTTAGTTAATACATATTTGTTTTAATTATTTTAAATATCATCATGAATACATGATGTTGATGTTGAAATTAACAAAAATTAAAAACCTCTTTAAAAGTAAAATTGTTGATGTAGAATTATTTAAAAATTTTCTTGTCAATAATTTATTTTTATCTTTGTATTACCTACTAAGATACTCAATTTCTTATCAGTGTATTTTTTTGTATATTTCATGAATATAGACGCAAGACTTTTTTTTAATGGAATGGTAATCCCGCCTGCGCTATCGGTATACACCGGCGATGCACCAGTGAGGGATGATAAGTAAAAATGTAAGAGTAGGGTCGACCTCCATGTGGTTCTCTCTGGAAACCATCGTGGTTAATTCTAATGGAATTCCTTACGATGGGCTAACTGACCTGCTTTCATCGTTACCTATCATCTCTCACTGATGCCCCGCCAGCGTATACCGTTAGCGCAGGCGGGGTGACCATTTCATTATCACCCATTAAAAAAAATACTCGTATGTACTATGTATATAATGGAATACAAATAGCGCCATTGGTACGTACTGACGGCTCACCACTAAACAATGAAGGGATGAGGATGGAAGGAGGTCAGTTTTTTTAATGGGTGATAATGGAATGGTAACCCCACCTGCGCTATCAGTATACACTGTTGTGGCACCAGTGAAGGATGATAGGTGAGAGATGAAGCAGGCAATTAGCCCATCGTGACGAATTCAACAAGAATTGTTCACGATGGTTTCCAGAGGTAACCACGTGGATGTCGACCTAGTAGGGCATATTGCTAGCAATGGGGCTGTCAAACTTCATTGCCAACAATAACCCCCCCCCCCCCACCCCCCAAAGAGGTCAGTTGACCCAATGTATGAATTTAACAAAAATTAAGGATTCCAAAAAGAATCGCATGAAGGTCGACCTAATAGGATATTATTGGGGGGAACGGATTAGTATTAGGAATATAACAGCTCCAATATAACTAGCAATATAACCAATCAGGTTTACCTCCACGCGGTTTTCCTAGAAACCATCGTGGTTGATTCTTATCGAATTCATCATGATGGGCTAACTGACCTATGATTATTGGTCCTAGTTTGAACTAGTGACCTATGATGAATTGACGATACTTATCATCTCTCACTGGTGCCCCGCTAGCGTATACCGATAGCAACCAATCCATGTTCATCCAATAAAACAATCAGATACTATTTTTAATGGGTGATAGTGGAATGGTCGGAGCACAGTAAGAGATGATAGATGAGGATGAAAGCAGGTCAGTTAGTCTATGTCCTATCACTATGTCGATAAATTCAAGTAGAATTAACCGTGATGATTTGCAGAGACAACCGCGTGAAAGTACGTACGTATATTGCTAGAAATGGGGTTGCTTGTCCCCATTACTAACAATTTTGTCTCCCTTCCAGGTAAGTACAAGTAGTAATAATAATGCTTACCAATAAATCATTTGCGAACTAGTATCACATAGGCTTTTTAATTTCCATTACAAGGTACGGCCTTGGCCTTGCTTAACAAAGGTATCAATAGGAGTGAACTTTTTAAATAGGCTCGAAAATGGCCATGGTTTTTAATATACCTTTGCTTAATTTTACTAATGCATGAGTATAAGCATTCTTGTATACTAGCGACCAATCCCAACTTTGCACGAGTAGACAGTAAAAAGGTAAATTAGATAAAACGGTCCATGTTACTTGTTGATAATGTAACTTTCTACGAATGAAAGAATTTTTTTAATTATTTTTTTTAATGTATGTATTTATCTATTACAAACAAAAATCTTTCCTATTTATAATATTAGTTTAGATTTAGACTAGCTGTATCCCATGCTTTTACTCGTGATCTATCTTCATCATCATGGGTTTATTTAAGATTATTTTCCATGGGGAGCCTAGCCTCTTAAAATAGCGCATTATATTTTTAGATGTGTCTTTATAAAGCTTTGCTCGCATTCTGGGGTGGGCACCAAACTATTCTAAGGTGGGCATGCCCACCTAGCGCATTTACCCATAGACAGTTATATGGAAAAAATTTGAACCACCTGCGTCCAGTGATTTCTGCAATGTTTTAGAGATCGTCTGCACTACCTAGTGGGAGGTCGTGCTCCACTATTTTTGCCTGAACAGAGTCGCAACTCATAAATCTTTCTTCCCTATCGGTTGTCGGTTCTTGTAGTTAAATTGCCAGTGTTACTTCAACTTGCTTACTCTTCGGGCTACATCGATTCTTTAACTTATCATCATCATATCAGCTGCCCACTGCTGACCATAATCCTCCCCCTTAAGGGGGTTTGCAAGTAGTTGACACGCTTGGTAAGCCGATTGGCAATCGCAGTTAGGCTTAGAAAATGTTTTAAGAGGGACGCTGCTTCCCATCCGTTGCCCTCCCTTAGTCGCCACTTACGACACTCACGGGAATGGAAGGGATGGCCTATTCTATGCCGAGACCACACGGTAAACTTAAGTTATATATATTATCTACTAAATATTTGTACTTACATTCTGTGATGGTGTCCATGAAACATGAAACAAAATTTCATGTTATTGTCTTAAAGGGCAAATGGTTACCAACCTATTAATTTTAATAATTCGATGTCTTGATAATTTGAAATTAATATTTCATAACTACCTATTTAGAGGGCAATGGTAATTAGATATAACGGGTCCTTAGTCTAAATACAATCAATGTCTATAATTAACATACCAATCGACGTTATAAATAAATACAAGAACCCGAAACGGACATTTTAAAATTGATGTGTTTTTTTAATAACACAAAGGGGCAAACGGGCATGCGGTTCACCTGATGGCAAGTGATTACCGCCGTCCATGTGCACCCGCCACATCAAAAAATTGCATATGTGTTGCCGGCTTTTTAGGAGCAAATTGGTCTGTTTTCTCGTGACAACGAGAAGATGACGGAATGGTTTTCAACGCAATTTTACAATCGTGTAATAATATAAATAATATAACGTAATAGTCGAGGGATGGGCAGCAGCAGTGTCCCTCTTAAAATATGACAAAAACCCAACTGCGGTTTTACAACCCGCTTGCTAAGTGTGATAACTACTGATTTGGAAAATTATTTCTTTTCTCAAAAGATATTCGTTCGAATTAGTTCATGGAAATTTAATGAAAACCGTCTTAGTAGTTTAAACTTTAAATCAAAATGGTTTTACAACATTTGAAGTCGTTTTTTTTTTAACATAATCCTATTTTAAAATGATTCAAACATGATTTTGAAAATTTAGAAGTTTAGGTTGGGTTTCGATCTTGGGATCCCAGGACTGCAGTCAAGCGTGTCCGATTAAACTATTACCGTTCGGTATTCCAATAGCAATACGCTATTTATATTTTCAAGTAATCATATTGGGGTAATTTTTAGCAAGTGCGAGTTCTGTCTAATTTCGATGAACTTTTTTGGTTTCGAGTCTTTAGAAGAGTTGATGTCTCCGGGAAGTGTTTTATAAAATGATTCCTTCTATATTTCGAGGACTTCTGCTTTTCTGGGGCTTCGAAGATAAAAGCACATTTTAAAAGGTTCATCGAAGTTAGACTGTGATTGCAGTTGCTGAAAATCACCCATTATGTTTTTAAAAGTAACTTAAAGGTAATTTCGACAATACGTAAACGAAGTCGCAGCCATGGCAATTAGTAATTTGATAAAAAAGTTGACCTTCTTCTCCACCCATGCGTATTGCGTATCTAGGATCTACCTAGACTATTTTATTAATCTAAGTTCTTAATATTTGGCACGAAGGTTAATTACATAACGAAGGTAATAGAAAATACTTGATTTCTGATTAAATCTATGATATAGGTGTTTTATTATGCCTAACCTAGAACTAATTGAGCGTAAGTAAAATCAATTATAAATTTCGCTAAATGTATTTCTTAAAATCTTTGCATAGTATAAAACAAAGTCGCTTCTCCCTCTGTATGTATGTTTAGATCTTTTTTTTTTATTAATTTAATACAAAAATCCACAGCTCTTAAAAACTCAACTTACATGCTAAGTCTCTTATAAATACAGCCAATAATGGATTTTATTTAAACTACGCTATATATTTTGATATGGTTTTTATCAATAGATAGAGTATTTAGTTTAATATTGTTGAAATATGACGATAATTGTTAAGGATGTCGGAAGAAATCAAGCTGTCTGTGAGCTTTCATCGAATTATTCTTTTGAAATATAACAATGTACGATGCAATTGTTCCTCATTATTAGGTCTACAAAAAAGTCAGCGATGGCATATCTATAATATGTATTATACTATATGGAAAGCTTTCTAATACCATTCTAATGTTTAACAAATATGAATGTTCTTAATTATTCCATACAGACCCATTTTAGTTTCTACGTTGCACCTGTGCGAAGCCGGGGCGGGTCGTTAGTTAAATATTAATACGAGTAAGTTATTTTCATTTCGATCTTCTTTTGACTTACATGGATATCGGCAATTTAATTTGTCCACCACATAACATATATATTTAATTGAACATAGCAGAGACGATTGTGACGTCATCTTTCAGATTCATTCGGTGTTAATATCACCAGGGAGTTAGTCTATGAAATGTAACCTAATTTCTTAGGTTTCCTACAATATAAAGATATAACTCAATAATTTGCAAGTAGATACTACTTTGTAATTACTAATTTGTAAATACTTACTAATAAAAAAAAATATATTTATTACAATCTTTAAAAATTAATAATTTACTAGTTTAGTGTTTCAATAGGTAAATTACCTATATAAATGGGGTTCTTTTGTCACAGCTAATATGCATAGGGTATTCCATCGTATGCCATTTATTTATGTATAGGGGTAATATGTGTTTCCATCGATTGGTCAGGAGCGCGTGGCTTACCGTCCGATCATTAACCCAGTTGTTCGTCGGCCAGCGGCGCGGCTGGGCATGCCACCCAGCTCGCCGAGCCGTCATTCGCGCACCATGCAACTGCCCGAGACGCCGCCGCCGCCACTCGCTCCCTTGTGGGATCGAGTGCTGCGAGCCCAAGCGCTCCCCCCGGACTTGGACGTTGAGCTCCTCTACATTGCCATCCGTGATCGCCTCACGCATCCTGAATGGGAAGTTCGACTCCATGCACTTCGAGTACTCGCCGACTTGCTTCCTCTCTCAGGAAACGCCCTATCATTCCCATTCGACCAAGTAGTAGACAACCTAGGTCACAATTCACCAAACGTCCGGAAGGGCGCGCTAGACGCTCTCAAAGTTTTCTGCACGCATTGTGAAGATACAGAATGCGCCGCCCGAGCTATATTAGATAAATGCTCGTATCAGAACATAAGGCCACAATCTGCGAACATTGACACAAAAGTGAACGTTATAACTGGATTAATTTTGTCAATACCTTCTGTTATGAATATACTTAAAAGAAGGAATCCCGCATTAAACATGTTACCGATATTTCAAATTTTAGGAGACAAACTGTTCGACCCAATACACAGAGATGTTGCACAACGAGCTTTGTTAAAGCTTCGAAGAGTTTGCGGACCACGAGACTACATGATGTTGCTTTCACGGCTTGATTTCAAAGTTCAAGATAAATTTCGGCAGCTGTGCGAATTATACGATGAGGATTCCATGGACGTGTATTATGCACCTAGGAAAGCTTATCGAGATAACAATCAAACTCTATTAAAGATTAATCATGTGTTTAATACACCACTTACTCCTGTAAGGGTTTCAACTGACACTTCCTCTGAGGAATCATTCGCACACCTACCATATTACAGTAGTAACAATAATTATGCTAAGGTGATAATAGAAACAGAAATTAAATTTGATGCGGACACTGCAATTACGATGACAGTTTTAGAAGAAAATGAAACGGGCTCGGAGAAAAATACAGGGAGTGAAGAAGACTGTGATAGTTCGGATAGGAATATGCTTAAGTATAGTGATGGTGACTCTGAGGATACTGATGTTGTTGTTAAAAAAGTGCGATTTGGTGGAGAGAGTATTAAAATAAGGACGCCAGACAGTGAAAATCTGCTATCTAGTGAAGACGACCATAATCAAAATAAATTGGTTCCGTTAAAAAAAGACAATATTATAGAGATGACGACGCAAATAACGCCGGTAATTGTAACTAAAATGAACGAAATTAAACGTAAAGCATTAGTAAGCAATGTTCAAGTAAAACCACTAAAAAAAAGTGGTATACCACTGCCAGTTATTCACAATAAACCTCAAAAGCAAAATTTCGTAACCGACGGAAAAATGACGTTAAAATCGAAATCTTTAAGTGAGTTATATGACTACTTTAGGACTAAAAACGACAATCAAGAAACTGTTCTAAGAGAAGGGTCTGGGTTTGCTTTAACTTTGTCAGAAGTGCGGTCGCCGGAAAAAGTTCCTAGTCCTGTAGAACCACACAGGGAAGTGGAGGTTCTACATAATTTGCAGAGAAGTCCAGCGGTATCTCCCCGCCGGCATCAAACACATTTGCAGTTAGAACGTGATGGGTGAGTTACTAGTTTTATTAAAATATTAACTATGTCCGTGACGTCGTTTGTATAATAGTCTAAATAAACACAATAATTCAATCAACAAAAAAATTCGTTTTTTGTTGATTGAAATTTATCAAGCGTAGGTTTAGTTTTTAAGCTTTCTTAACTAATTTTTATGAACAAAAGTATTCAATATCTTATAATTTATCTTTTTCTTGTTTGAAAATTTTGTTGAAATCATTCAAGCATAGGTTTAGGTTTTTAAGCTTTCTTAACAATTTTTTATGAATAAATCCCAAAGTATTTGATTAAAGTTTTACCAAGTCTTATGATTTTATGAAATTTATCTGTTAAGAAATTATGTATTTAAAATTCTTTTCCAGAAGGGGTCTCGCCTCTTATGAAAGGCGCATATATTCTTTCAGATATATCTTTGCAAATATAAAAATAGAAAATGAGTTTGCATAAAAGTACTCACGGTATATGTCACTCAGCTATATACCATGTTCTCTCGAACATGACGTTGATTTTGAAAATGGTATATGCTAATTTTGAAAGATTTTTTTTTTTATTCAGGTTTGTTCTCAGTCTACTCACATCAAGCCCAGTGGCGGAAACTGATTTGCTGTCTCCACGAGTACCGTCTCCATTGAGAGAACATTACGAATGGGAGGACTCGGGCATAGTGCCCCAACATGTCGCCAACCAACTGCATAACACGGTATGTTTAATATTTTTAGATAACCAAATAAAAATTAACATAGAATGAATGAACGCAAACTCTTTATTGATAAAAGATATAATTACATAAAATATCTACACAAGAACTAAAAAATATGTATTACAAGAAGTAAATTAAAAAGAGGCAACCTTTTTTGTTAAATAACGATAAACTTACAATCTTAGGATAGAGGGAAATAATGAAACTGGCGTCTGATCAAAACGTAATAGTAATAAAAATAAAGAAAATTGATATTTCTTTTTAGTGATATAAAATATGGCTCCCAAAATCAATATTGCGAATACATTGAAATAAATGCAACACAATCATATATTAATTAGGTCAGCCATATTTAACGTAGGTATGCTTTAAAGAGCCCTAGGGTTTCGAAAGTTCACGCGAGGGAATGTTATTAAGAAACGAATAACAAAAACTATAAAGCTATAGTTTGTGACAAAAATCAGAATTTTAGTATAGAAATGGTAACGATTTTATCAAAAATATTGTCAATATAGCAATACGTTGTCTATTTTATATGTATAACCAGACGAATTCTATATACCCACCCAGACTCGGCTAATTATAACAAGTTTGTAATCTAAATTAGCATGAACAAGAATCGAATCTGGAACCTCAGTTTTACAACATTAGGGCAACATATATGCTATGTAAAGTCTGTGTTATAGAAGTTGTCGAGAAAAAATTCTAGCTTTGTAGAAAAATCGATAAGTACACTATTATATAATAATCTCAAGGTTGTAATCGTTAATGGGTTTTCAATACTTAATAGAGATGGGCAATCCACCTGGGTGGGTTTAAAGTCTGCAAAAACCGGGTTTTTGGGTTTACAAAACACCCAAATTTTTGTGTTTATGATTTTGTACTTCATCATCGTCATCTCAGCCGCAAGACGTCCACTATACTTGACATAGACAATATTATTATGCAGCCTACAGAATAAAAAACTTTTAATTTGATTTTGAGTTTATTAAGAAAGAGATGAAAGTAAAATGTAAAACTACAGTCAATCACTGTCAGATTCAGAGTTTTACAAGCGATGAATTGTATACATTTTTTTCGTCTAAACTGTTATGTTCATTTTTGCTCAATTTCACTTCATTAAACTGATGTTCGCATTCAGCTTTATGTTTAATAAAACAAATGAATGAAATTTTTTCATAAACTTTCTTTTGTTATTATGTATGTAGCCTATATTAGTGGCTGCCGAATACAGGGAGCTGATAGAATAAATCGCTACTTTGAACTCAGTGGAACCACAAATACCTTTCCACCATATTAGGGGCTCAATGCTATCTAATGAGCTCCATACAAATCCTCTGGCCCAAAAGTTATCTTTAGCTTTATAACACGCCAAATCTGAAATTACATTTGACAAACTTAAGTGTTGGCTTAAATTGTAGATAACAAAAAAAAATTCGACTCATTTTAGAATATATGCTGCAAAATGTATTGGCCTCATTGCCATATAAAGATACTGATGTTAGAATCTTGTTTGCTTTCTTCGCTCAATGTCGAAATCTCATTTAATGCAAAACGTATCTTAGCTTGTACATCTCTAAATGTAATGTATGTGCGATGCAAACGATTCTGGTCGCTCTCTAAGTAAAATATGCTTTCAGTGACTGGTTCCAAAATACTTATACATTCGTTGTCCAGAAATCATCACTTAGAATTAAATCTTTAATATCTCTTGAAATTACCACATCTTCTCTAACTGTTAATATTTGCAAAGCTATCTTATTTGCTTTCAAACTTTTTAACGAAGTAACATGACTTACCCATCTTGTAGCACAAGGCAATTTTAGTGTTTGTGTAGAATCTTCACCCTGCCTTGATTTTATCAACAAGGAACTTAATCGTTGACTCCTTTTAACAGTTTTTATTATATTTATGGCTTGCATAATAAACACAGTTATGTATCTTTACAATATCTTGGCACAACAAGTTAAGGATATGTGCACAGCAACCGAGAGGAACAACATGTGGATATTTGAGTTTTGTTAATTCGAATGCCTTTTGTATATTTCTAGCGTTATCGCCAATAAGTACAAGAAACTTATTTGCTCCATACACTTTCATTACTTTTTCAACTTCTTGGCTAAGGTATTCACTAGTGTGAGGATTACTTTCTGTATTCAAACTTTTAACGTATGCAGGTTGAGGTTTTGATATAAGAAAGTTTATTATTCCTTCATTTCTTAAATTAGACCAGCCATCGCACTGAAGGTGTAAGTAACTACAAGCATTTAGTTCCTCATTTAACTCAAAACGCATTTCTCTATATATTTTATCTAAGTATTTTGTCGCTAAAGCTTTACGTGAAGGTATTTTAAATTTTGGTTGCAATTTTTCGAAAAATTGTATCCATAAAGGATGTTGCACCATCGATAATGGCGTCCCTGTTACAAATATAGCTCTCGCTAATTCTGTTTTTATATGATCATCGGTGTCTTGAAACTCAGCATTTATTGTAGTGTTAGCAGACGACGAGGGGCTTATAAAAGAATCATTTGTCTCTATCTCTGACAGTCCAGACATTTTGGTTTTGGACGAGCTATCTTTTATAAGTTTCATAGAGTCTTTTAATGTTTCTGGAGATTTTGGACAAGTGATAAGATGTTGAAGCATTTTGGCAGCATTACTGAATTTGTAGACCTTATTACAAAGCTTGCAAGAAACAGACTTGTTTGGTAAAGTACGGTAGTGCTCCCATATGCGTAAATCTTTAGGTCTCCCCATTGAACCTAAAAAAATGAACGATGATTAGTTGGTCTGACGAAAATTCAACAATAGAGTGCCTATTTTTTTACAATGATTATTTCTTGTTATTTACAATAAATTTATTAAAAAAATAATAAAATAAATACAAAAAACCTTTGTAAAATTACATCTCCTCGGAGGATTAAACGCAGACGCTAGTTTATTATCGTATTGTTCTGTATTTTTCTCAGCAACTTCTTTAATTCGATTAGGTACTTACGCATATTATGTTAAAAATAAATATCTAGTACACATCTTAGGCTATCCACCATTATTATCCAATGACGACTCTCAGCTAACTATGCACTATCATCCAAAATAAACGTGTATGGAAAATTTTATCCCAGTCGGTTGAGGATTGAGGATAATTGCATCAACATACGAACATACCTACATACTTTTATTTACATAACGCAAGCTAAATAAAAGCTTGTAATAATACATCTAATTTTAAGTTAAAATTGTTAAGTGATCATGATATAATTGTATCATTCAAAAATCCACTTACCTTTAATTATTTCTTGTTAAGTATAAATATTATTTCAAATCTGCTCCCTTAATATGCACTTTTTTACTGCTTTTCCTACCTAACACGTTACCAGGAAGTCACGTTACCAGAGTCAGAGTAATAGTGAACACGTTTGACAGTGATTGTCGTCGCCTCATATTCAGCGTCGACGAATAGGGAAATCCCCAGTCATAATGTATTGCATGCGTGGCGGTCTTACTTCAAATCCATAAACAAAGAGATAATTACAGAACTCGATACTAGATGGCGCTGTTTTTGTTTGAAGAAAGTTTGCGGGCTAAAATACATAGAATTTCATCAATGACTTCCACAAAGAACAACATTTCTGTTTTTTCTAAGTCCGTATCTCTTCCGTATATTTCATAAGATATAAGCTTGGGCTACATTGTTATGCAACGTGATTTTGTCGCTGTCTTGCTAGCAGGGTTGACAGATATACGATTTAAATCGTACTCATACTATTATTTGTCTATTTTTTAATGTACGATCGTAAAGATTATGATCGTAATTCGCACAAAAACATACGACTTTTTGGTTACCTGGCAACATTTTTATTATGAAACGAACATGCTCACATCATCAGTCACATGCAACAATTTATTGGGGATTTCCCCTTCACATCTGGCAGTCCTGCTTGCTAGAATATAGGTAAGTCAGCCACAGTTACTGACGATCGATATTTAAAGGGTATTGTTTTTGTGCTAAATATTTCATAAAAACGTTATTTAATACTTTGTGGATTATTAATTTAGTTGATAATCACTGGAAGTAAAATGGATGCTAATTTGAGAGATCAAGATCTTCGTATAAAACAGTTAATAAAAGAAAATCTACGTAAGTACTCTTTTTATACCTAGGTAGGTAAGGTATAATAAACACAAAAGGTATTTAGATCGCGTGTGTTCGAAGCATTTATTCTAATAAATTTAATTTAAAATTGTAGAAAGAAAAAAATGTCTTTAGCCGAAGCCGATCTCCAAATATATTTGGCGATAGTGAGACCCAGTGTCCAGATGATTTACCCAGCGTCGTCGCAACAAAGAAAAAAAACGAGGATAAAGTAAAAGAAAATTTACTGAAAGAAGAAACAAACTGTTCTAAATGCTTAATTTATGGAGAAGAGGATAAAAGAAATGAGTATTTCGGACTGTTAGTGGCTCAAGAATTTAAATATATACGGCCATGTGTGCGAACGAGGTGTTATGAAGAAATTTTAAAGTATCTACGGGAAGCAAAAGGCCAATATGTTGATCAACTGCAACATGAAAACACTGAAAATTAATTACTTTCATTTTATTATATATAGATTTTTAAAATTTCCTGAAATATTATTAGTTAACGTTTTATTTAATATTGTAGAATTGATCAATACAATTTATAAAAATAATTTATTGGTATTACTTACATATTTTCAAAAAAATACGTAAAAACCTATTTTTTTGGGTGATTATGGGAGTTTATGGGTGTTTATTGGGTTTTTACCAAAGCACCGGGTTTAAACCCGGTGCTTTGCCCATCTGTAATACTTAAATTAGGTTATGCATTTTTACAATTGTAGGTACCATAAAGCAATACGAAACAATGTTTAACAGATATTTGTAAACCTAGTGGTTTTGAAAATATGCATAGATTTTTTTCTCACACATTTTTTCCTTATCACTCTAAGATGTTCGTTAAGAATAAAATGATACTTTTATTTGTGATAATTAGAATGGCAAATAAACTGACCACTATCCTTATCCATCCAAAATACTCTGTGCATTTTTTTCATGATAATTGCTAAAGCCGTTAAAAAGTAGTTATGTAGATTACAAAAAAAAACACTTTTGAATTTCGAATTTGAGATTAAAATATGGAATTTATTCTTTGTATCCAGGAGAATTGGATATCAGCTGTGAAGGCAGCTGACCAGCTTCACAGCACGTTGTTAGAAACTGCCAACGTGCAGAAAGTGGAGTCAACCGCGTTATCTCTCGTACAACACATGTGGGCGCTCAGCGAAGCGGTGCGTATTTAATTTCGCTTTGATAGTGCCTAATAATTATCATAGTAAAAATTAGAATAATCTAGTCATAATGGATGTACCAACTGATTTCAAGCTGAATTCCAGCCATAGCATTTATGGAACTGAACAACCTGAATCAAGAAGCAAACTTGATATCTCAACATACTTTTTTAATTATTGTTGGTAGGTACTTGTTGAACATGCCTGACTTCTTTCTTCGTCATTCAGTTAATTTTTTTCGTATAACACATCGAGTGGCAAACAAGCCGTCGGTCCACCTGATGGAAAATAGTAACCGCGTCAGCAACATACCCTGTTAGGTCGACCATCCCGCGGTCTTTAGGGAAACCATCGTGGGAAACCATCAACCAACTGGCCTGAATTTATCCTTATTATTTCATTTCCCGCTAATGCCCCATTGTATACCTTTCACATAGGCGAGAACGCCATTTCATGTTCATTTATTAAAAAAAACCGTCACATATAGATATGAAGCCTTGAATGACTAGCTAGAGTATCCTGCATTTATCTTTTCTCATGATGTTATTGAAATACTTCTTTATACGTACTCTTAATACGTCTTTTTCAATGCTTATTGATGTTCACAAGCTTAATTTTTACTTTAGATCTGTCCAATGCTTCAGTGTTTGTGACCAGGTCATGCCAAAAGATTTAAAAATGTGACAGTAAGTCCTCATTTTCATTGCCTCTAAATTCTTCATTGTCTATGGTTTTATGTCTCCATATCCTGTAATATCTCAGCTTAAAAAATAAAAGATTAAAAAAAACTGTCTAAAACTTTTTTTTTTAATTATTAGGTAACAGCAGCTAGAGCACCGGCGGAAAGTGCGGTCTGCGCGCTGGTTCGTGGCACAAGCAACGACTGCGCGCGTCAACTGCTGCCTGCACTGGTGACCAGGATGGGCCAAGAGCCGCTTCCTGCAGCGCTTCCACATGCTCTCCTGCAGAGAATTGCGCTGCATCATCTCGTAGACCTCATCTTTGACCCTAATATGATTGGTGTAAGTAATATCTAGATATTTTTAACTCCTTCTTTAAATTTTATTGTATTTTTTATATTTGTTACCTCATAACTCTGTCAGTTCTTAACCGATTTGGTAAATACCTTTTTTTATCTGAAAGGATATACATACAGGTTGGTCCTATAGGAATTTTATCAATATCGGTTCAGTAATTTAGTTTTTAAATCAAAATAAATAGTTTTGTCACAGTTATAGTAGTTTTTTTTTTTTTTTTGGCACATAATGTTTATTTATTAAATATGATAATTGCGTCTATACCAAAAAAATATAATTTTCATCCTCACGATCTGGCCACTCTACGAAGGACTATTTACTGTACTTACAAATAAAACCGAATTAGGCTAGTTCTATATAACTTACTAAAGAATGTTACGTTCCAATTCGCTATAAATATTTTTTTTTATTTTATGCAAATTATTTATACGTAGTAGTGAGTGACGATAAGTCACCTCGTTCCCACCGCGTTACGTGACGTATCTGGGTACAATCTATAATAGCCAGTGGTCACAGAGACATGCAACACAACCCCTACCACGACCTACACGGGGTTAATTGTACGACTTTCCCCAAAAACTAACTCGAAATTATGAAAGTTTCGCTCTCAAAATCGATGTCACGCTATGTAATTTTTATGAATGGCTTAAACAGATACGCTACGAGTATACTTCTATTTATTTATATATATTATATACTTACATATGTATAAAAACAGATAATAAAAATAATAGTAGCAATGAAAATTAATATTCTCCATTTATAAAAACTGTGTGCCAATTTACTTTTGCGACTAACTCCGGTGAAGGGGAGGAAAGGGATTATTAGTAACGGAGACTAAAAATCCCATTGCTAGCAATATACCCAACCAGGTATACTCCTCGCGGTTTCCCCTGGAAACTATCATGGTTAATTCCTGATGAATTCATCATGATGGACTAACTGGCCTGGTTTCATTTTCATCAATCACCCTTCACTGGTGCTCCGCCAGCGTACCCCATTAGCGCAGGCGGGGTTACCATTCCAATTTCACCCATAAAAAAAACTCTCCGGTGAAAAAAAAACAAAAGACTGTCCGCGTGATCAAGATATGTATATTAAATTTCGAAGTTAACAAACAAATTCACTTTCATATTTACAATATTAGTATTATTGTTAATTAATCTAAACTATCTGCTATATGAAGCGATAAAGTTGATCAATCATGCATAAATGATTATTTAATAACAACCATTAACCTATTGTCACTAATGGTTCTTGTCCTTTGCAGTGGGTCTATAAAATTAAAGTGACTTAACAAATGAAATATAAGTTGTTAATGTATTTTTAATAAATCCATCAATTTTTTATAAATATACCTCTGTTACGTCTGTTAATTTTGATTCTAAATATCTTTGATGGAATATGAAAATGGATGGGCTACTATGATCGTTTACCATAACAGTACCGGACCGAACATTTATGCTACAAAACATCACACGATTAATGGACGACCCTTTAGAAATCTAGCATTATACCATATCAGGTTGACTTCCAGGCAGTTCTCTCTGGAAACTATTGTGGTTATTTTAAAATTAGTCAGAATGGGCTAACTGACTTGACCTGACGAACAAGAAGGAATGCTTTGTTAGTAATACGGACTACCAGTCCCATTGCTAACAATATATCCTAGGGGGTAAGGGATTGTTGGTAATGGTGTCTAACTGACCTATTGCTAGCAATACACCCTGTCAGGTCGCCCTCCACACGGTTCCCCCTGGAAACCATCGTGGTTAATTCTAGTGGAATTCGTCACGATGGACTAACTGACCTGCTTTCATTTTAACCTATCATCCCTCACTGGAGCCCCGCCAGCGTATACCGATAGCGCAGCTGGGGTTACCATTCCATTATCACCCATTAAAAAAAAACAATATACCTTAGCAGGTTGATCTCCCCATGGAGGGGAAAAGAGATTGTTAGTAAAGGGGAATTTAGTCCCCATTGCTATCAATATACCCTATCAGGTCACGCGGTTGTCACTGCAAACCATCGTGATTAATTTATCGTTGAATTTATCACGATGGGCAAACTGATCTGCCTATCGTCTCTCAATGGTCCCCCGCTAGCGTATACCGTTAGCACGGGCGGGACTGCCATTTCATTGTCATCCATTAAAAAATAAAAAAGACCTGACCTCCTCACCTATCGTCACTTATTGGTACATCATCAGTGTACACTGATAAAGAAGGCAGGGCTACCATTGCATTTTACGTATAAAAAAGCCTCTAGGAATGATAACTGTAACGTTTAAGAGGTACTCTGCGTCACAGGCCAATTTGTATTGTCTATGGTGACGTTCATATTAGGTATATGCCACAGTTACCGTATTCAATTAGGTGATACCGCCGAGTTATTTGTAATTTTCAGTTATAAAAAAAAGTGAAAATGTCTGTATAGGTGACAGGCGATGCAGAAGCAGTCCAAACCGCTCAGCTCCGTGCTACGCTGTGCTTGGCCCGAGCCGCCGGACCAGCCGCTGTTCTTTCCGCTGTTCGCAGGAGGCTCGCCGGCACCGCTAGAGCTGATATCTTTTGTAATAAGGTGAATATTCGATTTGCAAAATGAGATTTGTAAATTCTTATCGAAATATTATTTTCTTTTTCTGACTTCCCTGCAATTAATTTGAATGTCTAAAAATTTTTAGAATTCTTAATTTGGTCTAGAGAGACCAACCCAAGTCTCTTTGAATTTCTAGTTATTTATCAATATCGAAAGCAGCCTATTTTGTAATTTAGAAAAGTTTCTTTCTTTTGTATATGTGTATGGATATCAGTGAGATAAATTCTGGTATTTTAGATTTATATTCAACCTCGACCGAGAATCGAACCCAGGATCTTATTAAGAGAACCTCCGTAAGCATATAATAGCTTACGCACGAATACAGACACGACGGACACGTTTGCGTGACCGTCAGTCAAATTAGAAATTGAATTGAGTAACTTCTATCTATAATTAATCTACCTAAAAGGTACTTAATGTTTCAAAAGATCTTCCTATATTCTGATAAGATTGGGCAGTCAAAATGCCTCCGTTATTTTCGGTAATCTGATAAGTCTCAAATGAAGTAACATTGTTTTTTATTAATTATAGTTTCTTTTTTCAGTTACGCGAGCGATTGAGCAGACCGATTGAGAATATCAAACCAAGTCATGTGATCAGGTAACTATTTAATGTTTTTTTTGTAATTGGGTATCGTAAACAAAATTTAAAGAATATCTATCCATCAGAATGAATCTCTAGACTGGCTGTGTATATATATGAGTTATGAAAATGGATCAGTCCGTAAATGTTCATTTTTTAATGGTTGGCTGCCTGTGCTATCGGTATACGCTGGCGGTGCACTAGTGAGGGATGATAGATAGGGATGAAAACAGGTCAGTTAGCCGATCGTGATGAATTCCACAAGAAATAAATGGAATCCAGGGTGAACCGCGTGGAAGTCGACTTGAAAGAATATATTGCTAGCAATGGAACTGTTAAATCCCCATTACTAATAATCCCTTCGACCTCGTAGATGCACATAAGGAAGACGCTATTATGCGCCCGGTTTTTATTTTTATTATACTTAGAGGGTCGAAGAAGCTGACGGCCCACCTGATAGGAAGTGGTAATCTTCCCCTACAAACATGAACCACACCATTAACATAGAATAGACTATTATGCCCATGGAACCCCGTATGCCTTTTTCAACCCGGATCCCTCTACTTCGTAACGTACCTGGCATGTTGATATAGAGATATTGTAATTTTTTTAGGAGTTCTCAACTACCAGTTCCAGTAAGACGTCGGGCTAGATCCACGCCTCCGCCCGCCGCGCCAGCACTGCCCCGGAGACTGCGACCACTGCCTGACTCCGCGCCTCTGCCTGGTACGTATTTTATATCTGTACTGATGTATGGAAAATGTAGTGAAATTAAAATCATATCAAAGCAACGTAACATTTTTCTCAAAAAAAAAAATGGGTATAAAAATGACCAGAAATTGACCAGAAATGACCAGAGCTTATGTGAATACGGGATGTACAATTTTTTGTTTTATTACACATATTTCGTTAGGAAAACTATTCCATCTCTCTGTCTCAAGATATGAATGAAAAAATGCCTAATTATTATTATTAAGGGAGTCTTGATATTAAGGAATGTTCCGTATGGCCCCAGCATGAAATAGGCTACTTTCTTCCTTTCCCGTGGATGTCGTAAGAAGCGACTAAAGAAACTTAGTGGTTAGGGGATGGGCAGCAACGTCTCTCTTTAACCATTTACAAAACCTAACTGCGGTTGCCAATCCGCCTACCAAGCGTGGCAACTACTGGCAAAGCCCTTTTTTTTCAGAAGTCATGTTGTGTACGACCTGATCGACCAAAATGGTGGGCAGTAAACATAGCAATTGAGAGACATCTGCATTCAGTAGAAATGTGACTTCTGAGATAGATGTGTGCATCAGCTTGTTTCAAAAGCTTATATCAAATAATTTTTATAAAACATTGTATTATCATCATTATCATTATATCATCCGTTAACCACCACCTTTTTAAGTTCCATTAGTTACCTCTTACGACACCCACGGGAAAGGACGGGGTGGCTCATTCTATGCAGGAATTACACGGCGATAAAATATATAAAAGTATATAAGGCTGTTTTTGTAGAACACAATTATAATATAAAGCTAACTATGTTGTTGACAGGTATTTCGCAGCCCGGAAGAGACTTTCTTATGAAGCCTGCACTGTCTCCAATACCCTTAAGCGATAGGTATGTACATACTAACCTAACTTGTACATTTTCTTATTATACTAACTTATATATTAAACAGAGCTCTAAATTCTCTGAAATTCAATTTGCCAGAGAGAGAGACTTTGTACAAAAGTCGTTTGTTTGGGTACGCCTGCACCATTCGTGTTTCTACTGCGAAATAGTTGTGTTTGGCATGGTGTGTTTCTGTTTATAGAATGACATGACAGTGAATTTATAGGGTACAGAGTTATGATACCTTAGTCTTCAGGAATGGCAACGCATGGGGAATATCTTGGGCGAACCAGTATACTCCGTTATGCCCATGGTACTGTTCACATCTATTGGCGTCAGTTACCATTTTCTATCAGGTAGGCCGTCAGTTTGTTTGCAATTCTAAGCTGCATAAAAAAAAAATCCACAAATGTGTTAATAATAGTTAATTTTAAAGCACAAAAAACATCAAATGTGTAAATAATAGTTAATTTTAAACGTTTACGTTGTTTACGCATATTTTAAATACACTATCGGGACTTAACGCGAAGTAAAAGCTTTTTCAGGTAAAATAATATCAACGTACCTGCTTCTTTATTGTCGACGTATGTAAGTATTATTTACTTGTAAAAGCTTTTACATCGCGTTAAGTCGCAATTGTGTATTTAAAATATATGCTAATAATGTTGTTTAGGTTTGTAGGCTATGGTTACTATTTACCATCAGGTGAGCTGTCCATGCCATTCTAAACCTCTACTTACTACTCTCATACAGCTCGTCTGATGATTAGTGATTACTGTATATTACAAAAGCCAGTAACATCAGGGGTGTCATGTGTGCGTTGCCAATATTGAAGAAATCTCTTATTGAAGATTATGTTTTTCTTTCATACGTCTTTAGAGGAAACCTCGTCATTCATTATTTGTAGTGCTAGTGGCCGATCTGGCAAATTTACATGGTCACTATACTGTTCTTCATTATTATCACATCGCCTTTTAAATGTCCACTGCTGAACATAAGCCTCCCCTATAAAAGTGGGAATTTGCTAGTAATTGCCACTTAGTCGTTTCTCATGACACCTACGGTCACGGACATACATGCTCACCGGTTACGAGTACTTTTAATTTGGCCATTCAGCAAATCGTCTATTAGGTCCACATAGGTCCATCTAGGGCGGCCCCTGCCAACATCTCCATTCATTCTTGTTCGATAAATCTCTTTCGTAATCCTTCTTTTAATCATCCTCTCTAAATGTCCAAACCAACGCAACATTCCCTTTTCGATTTTTGTCATTACATAGTGTTTCAATCCATACTTCTCTCTAATCAATTTCTCATATATTTATGCTTAATAAGTAAAAATTGTTGGCAACACCATCTAACAATATTTTAATTATTACATTGGCAACACTGGTAACGTGGGAGATAGATTTTTCCCGCCCTTTTTAGTATTGATTGATTTATTATAATGCGTACTCTTTCATTGAACTTCTTAATAAATATAATAAGGGTATTATTGAAGAGTTTAAGAAGCACCATCCACTCCACATTTGGAACAAATGTAATATAAGTAAATAATTAGGTTCAGAAAATATTCCGATGTTTCCTCTGAAAAAACTAAAGTTCTTCGATAATCATCTGATAGTGTTTTTTTAATACAAAAATGATCATCTGTAACTATATTATACATAATGTAATTAAGCGAATATAGCTAACTATTGGTAGGTATAACATAAAAAGGGGCGATATCCTATTACAAACACGGATATTGTAGTTACAACTAGACATTGAATTGAAAAGCAACGAACTTCTTATATTATTTATTCGGCGAGCAAAGTTCAATAACGTACCGCAATTAACCAAAGACTTGTGTATGATATGTACATAATTGATTACTTGGATAAAAAATTGATAGGCATCGATTTAGACATATGTTAGGTTTCAGTGACCACTCGCTTTGACCTTGTGCCCGTGCGAGTCTCACCACCTGATCACGTTTTTTATATAAGAATACAGTATTCTTTCTTTTCTTCTATTATTAACTTAGCAAGTACGTATGTACGTATAAGTTTTTGTCTAATGGATTATTTAGAATTGTAACCATTGCGTTATTGGTTTACCAGTAAGGATCAGGACCTCTAGACAAGTGTGAATCTAATTCGTCAAAGGAATCAACATCGCTAGCATGTATCATGTTACTAGTTAGCACTTTTTTTTTATACAACTTAGAATGGCAAACAAGCTAACGGCCCACCTGATGGAAAGTGGTAACCGTCGCCTATAGACATGAGCAGTGTATACTGTTTCGCCCATGATACCCCCCATGTGTTGCCATTCCTGAGGACTCAGGTGTTATTCCCCTGTATTCTGTAAATTCACGCCATATCCCATCCTTCAAACCGTTACTAGTAATAACGATAGGGATATATACGCCACCGTTATGCAATGGCAATTGGACATATTATTTTATAATTTCATCCAAATGAACTATGGTGTTTAAGTTAATCGGTAGGACACTGATATTATTTAAGCCCGCTAGGCGTAGTTATAGTCATGCCACATGCATTATATACGTACTACTATATGAAGACTAATACATCATTATAAATAATATAAATTCTTATGGACTATATCCATTAGTGAACAATAAACTGGTAAATTGACCGTGATGAGAATAACAAAGAGATCCATTTCACGCACACAGTTTTCCACAATAACACGTAATTCTTGTGGAAAACTGTCAATTAGATGAATTTCAAATATGAATCGCTCTAGGCAGCTATTAGAAATCACCAATGAGTAAATTTTAGACTCCAAGGACGCCTGCACGGTTAGGGGTGTCACGTACTCATCGCCGACCTTGAACCTCTCCCCTGAATATATCTAACAATCAACCCTCACTGTAAACACCTACATAAAACACAATAGGTAATGTATCTACTTATGAAAACGTAAACAAAATTAAAATGACATGTGAATAAAACTCGTTTAGATATACGTAAGTAAACATTGGTATCTACTTATTGGATAAACCTTAAGTACATATATATATATATATATATATATATATATATATATATATATATATATATATATATATATATATACAGGCGGATTGGTAAACGCAGTTAGGCTTTGCAGATGTTATGAGAGGGACGCTGCTGCCCGTCCCTCGCTCTCCTTAGTCACCTCTTACGACATCCACGGGAAAGGAAAGGGTGGCCAATTCTATGCCGGGACCACACGGCGATTACTAAGTAATGAGTTATGATAAGTTACAGCGGAAAAATTAATATTGTATTACTGTGTTTATTTTTTGTAAAACAATAGGTCAGATTTGTGCATCAAAATGAACATCCAAAACGTTCAATTCCATAATATTTTAAAATTGAGCGTAGATTAAGTTAGGAAATTTAGCTGTGTAGTTTCGGCATAGAATAGACCACCCCTTCCTTTCCTGTGGGTGTTGTAAGAGGCAACTAAGGGAATTTAATGGTAGAGAAATGGGCAGCAGCAGGACTTCATTGCTCTAACCGTATTTATTTATCCTGTAATACAATTGCGCTTCTTGTTGCATGGTCGTGTATAAATTAAACGGTCTCTTCCTTGACTGGTTATGGCAATGAAACTACTGGGTACAGAGGCATTAAAACTTTTAATCCGCCTCAGAAATAACAACCTACGAGGAACTGGCCGTTATCGTGTATTCTATGATTTCTATGAGGATGCTAAAGTCTATATGGTTATATGGATATATGATTATCACCTAAGAACAGGAAATCTTGAATTATCTAATTAATTATATATTTTACAGTGTGCAAGAGTTTTTGATGCAAAAATACTTAACTACTTGAATTACCTCTCGGGTTACCAATAGTCATGCAGCTGTTATCAATAGTCCATAATTTGACATTGACATTTCTTTTTTTATTGTGACAAGTGTTCGACATATTTGATATATTAGTTTTTTTTATAACATTACGAATTTTAACGTCTAATTTAATTAACATTTATTCTATTTAAGTATAAAATTTTACATGCCTAATTATGGCGAAATATGAGAACCTATTGTTAACATCGATACACTTGTTTCCATGTTTTGTTGATACCATGTTTCTTGTAAATCAAAAAATATCACTTACCGTCGATAGGGCCATCATCTTGTTTACTATTCTAAGCTATATAAAACATTCTTTGGTATAGGACTTTTTTCTTTCTTCAATCAACACCAACCACTTTTGGAACAGTATGACCCTAAAACGTTACTATTTCTGTGGTCAATTAGTCTCCTAATATTGAGCTCAGTGGGTTTATTAGGAGCGATAGTTATCGTAACCAAAGTAAATTAAAAATAAATTGGCCCTCTAAGCCAAGAAAAGTATAATGAATTGTATTTTATTCTAATGTATTTGCATTCCAACCATATTTTCTAGGTATTGTTGACTTGACCGCCAGACTTGATCGTTATCTATGTTAAACTAGCACATTTACTAAATTACCGTTATGTCGAATCAACTACCCTATTCGATGACTAACGCCCAATCAATAGATGAGGGCTGACGATTTGTTACTACAAAAAATGACCCTGAATACGTAGTAGAGCGTTTGAAAATGCGTCAGTATCCGTTCCAAGAAATGCTAAGCGTGAATGCAAAGTTGTAAACGAAGCTGACGAAGATATAGCGTTTGTTGTTTAATTTTCAATTGAATGCTGTCTCCATGGTTACCTTGCCAGCCACGCAATCAGGACACAGCTAGACTAAGTTTATTGTAAGTGCATTGGTTACTAGGATATAGGTATAATAGCATATGCATAACCAGAATTCCCTGTTGCTCGCACTTTGGCGATCATTTTATAAGTTCATTCCTTTTTGTAATAAAAGCTCATGATGATCTGATGAAACAGACTTTACTAGATAAAAGATTAAATATTTTCTGATTAATTATCTAGATAGAACAATAAGTTTGGAATTTTTTTTTTTGTTATCTAAACTCTTGAATTTCTGATATAACCGAAAACATTGTTAAGCTGTTAGATTCTTTATCTAATAAGAATTCTGAACGTCTCAAGATGTTAAAATTCAGTATCATAATTTATGGAAATTCTCAATTTTTTTTTAAATAATTTAATGATGAATATCATTTTTAGAATCGGTACTATTAATATAAGTATTTTTCATCTTCTTGTCTCTATTGTATATGTGAGACAGTGTATGTATGAGACACCTTCATTAATAGGTATAATAGGTAGTAAGAACTATAAATAATAAAATAAGTTGTTAATAGATAATAATAGACTTAGGGTTTAAAAGAAAATAATAGGTTATCGATTAGGTCTTAAAGTTTTCAACAAGAGGCCTTACACTTATCAAAAGCGACATTTGATTACAAATTCAACAGACAATAAACGTTTTAGCTATACTGAATTTATTTCGGCACGCATTGTTTACCGAAGAGTTAGGGGATGTAATTGCGTGCCACCACTAACCTACATTTTGAGACTAAAATGATTGGCCCACTTCTGTCCCAAGCGTTATAGACGGCCGCTGGCGACCCATTTACGCTATCGTTACATCGTTCTACATTGTGATCGAAATATGTGTGTCAAAAACCGCATATACAATTTAAAATTGCTAAGCAATATTATGTACAATCTATTGCAAACTGCCGTAGAATTATTCAAAATATGGAAAATAATTTTTAGCCCACATCCTCAGTAATAGCTGTTGCGCGCCGTCTACATAAATTCTAGGAGAACGCGTGTTTACCTAATCTGCATAATATGCAGGTAGTAGAATGAGTTCATCAACATGGTTGTCAATTGATCGCGGAGTTAGGGTGCTGAGGTGTCGGTCCCGTTGTACAATTCATGGCGTGTGGCGTCGACTGTACGGCCGTAGGCATGCAGTCGTCGGTCGTCAGTCGCGGTGGCGCCGCGGCAGCAGGCGGCCATGCTGCTTTGGTGCTGCCCTCGTCCTGTTGTCGAACCCGCACCCATTCCGCCCCTTGCCCCCGACCTCGTCGCCGACTTACCCCCACATACTCGGTAATTTCCGACTCCAATACTCGATAGTAAACAACATTAATAACTTCCTCGTAGTTGTAATATTAATTCTTTGCTTTTGCTTACAGAGAATCGAGCGCGTTTACAAGTTACGAAGAAAAGGAAAATGGTAAGAATGATCAATTGGAGGATAAGAAATCTGTTGATAGTACCATTGTTGGTGATACAACAGTTATCGAGGCATCGACGTGTGAAATAGAAGACGCTCAGTTACCCCCTCGTTCGCCGTCAATTCACATTGAAGATTATTCCGAAAAATCAAATCATTCATCACACAGTCGCCGGTCACGAGTAGAGACTGACGCTTATAGTCGACAATCAGTTGATACAGAGAATGCAAGAAGTCCAGATAGAATATTCGGATCACAGAAATCTCTAAATTCCCTCGGATCCGGGTCGCGGCCGTACAGCAGAAAATCTTCACCTGGTGCATCAAAAAGTCGAAGCGCGTCTAGTAGTCGAACTCAAACTCCGGATCCGTTAAGTGCAAATTACCACGAAAATGCATCACCTATTGAACGAGACGTACGCAATGCATTAGCAGAATGTATTGTACCAGCACGACATGAAGACTGGCAATTGATAGTTAACAGTTTAATAGAAACTGAACGGTTGGCCACGGACCCATCCGCCCGCGCCCCTGCTGCCAGTTGGAGGGCCGTCGTTCGATCAGCAGCAGCACATGTGCGTTCGTTACGATCGAGAGTAGCAAGAACGGCGTGCTCTACACTAGGTGCTCTATTTGAGCATCGCGGACGAGCCTTAGATCCTGAGTTGGAAGAAGCAGCAACAGCTTTATTAGAGCGGTGCGCAGATGTAAATAGGTTCCTAAGAGCTGATGCAGCGTCAGCACTGGTCCGTTTAGCACGTGGAAGTAATAGTGCCCGAGCTGCAGTGGCGTTAGCGCGGCGTGGTTCCACACACCGCGCTGGGCCAGTAAGAGCGGCGGCTGCTCAAGCACTAGCTCGTCTAGTGCAGCACAACGGGGCTTCTAGAACACTCGATATGCCTCCCGAACCAAGGACTGTGCTGCTGAGAGCTGTCGGTGAATTACTTGGTGATGCTAACGCCGAGACGCGTTTACATGCCCGGCACCTTTGCCTGGCACTGTCCACTGATTTAAGGTTCCGGCTATTGTTGAAAGACTCTATTCTGCCGTCAAGGTATCGCGCTATAGAAAAATTAGTCGAAAAATTACGATGACCACGATAAAGTGTCTATTAAAACAGAGAAGTTGAAATGCTTGTTTACATAAATCGTATAAGTATTTACGCTAATGTAAGTTTAAATACTGGATTGAAGCTGTAGTTTTGGAATTACATTAGATGTTTTAATAGACTGCGTAAAGAATGCTACCATTGTATGGCTGACAATTTCAATTATGATTCTATTGAAAAGAATCATTGTCTTTTGACTGAATTGTGCGAAAGGTATTTTTGTAGTAAAATATAAGTAGTACTTCTATAAATTCTTATATACAATTATGTACTTGCGAAATGGAATTGTTATCCTCCGATGGAGTGAAATTTAATATACTTATTGTTAACTGCATGTACAATTTATAAATTTTTAATAGTAGGAACTCATTAAATATAGAATAATGAAGGCGTATTATTTATTTGTAAACCTTTATAGAATAGAAATTTTTATACATGTATATATGTGTAGGTATATGTATATAAATATTCATGTGTGCTATAAATTTAAATATAATCCTATATTATTACAGTCTTCTTGTATCATCTAAAGTTTAGTTTGCACGCCCAAATTTATAATTTTGTTGGTAAATCGGATTTCTATTTTTTAAATCAAGTTTGACTCTCCAGCCACCTCGATAGTTAAACTTTTTCTTTGTTTATAACACAAGAAAACTTAGAAATCTAAACTGATGCTAGTATCTACCTAGACGAATAACTGAAACTCGAGCATCTAAATGGCTCCGATGACCCACAGTTCAGAAATAAATAAAAGGGAACCGAGTTCTTAATACTTATAGTTTTAATATCTAACCGAAGTGATAAAAAAACAAAATAGCTTATGTCAAAATACTGTTATGACATTTGAACACTAAACGTCAATTTAAATCCATAACGTGAACAAAATAAACAGCCAAAAAAATGTTAATTCCTCAATGAGTGTCCGTTTTATTTAAACAACAAAAATGTCCTGAATGGAGCTGAAGGAATTGTCTGCCGCGACACTGTTGAAACTCGTGTCTTTCCTGTTCTGGAGTTCATTATATTTGTGGTGTTCAATCAGAGCGCCAGGCCAGAGTCCTGAATGGCGCTCCCGGGCTGTGACATTGCTGCACGGCACGGTTGCCACCATAATCGGCTTGTCGCAGTGTGGTGTACGCTCGCTAACACCATGTCAGCTCGCCAGTTAGTTTACAGTTTTACGTGATATCTTCACAGATTATGCATTTTTATTTAATACAGCTTCATATGGGTAAATAGGTAGACGAATTAATATTTTATATATATGTATATACATGTTTGTCACGACTTCCATTAGGGTAGGCAGAAACAATGGAACGCCCAACGATTTGATTCAAGCAGGCCTCTTTCGCTTCCTCCACATTCATCATATATATAGATTTTTATATTATATATATATATATATATATATATATATATATATATATATATATATATATATATATATATATAGATTTTGTCCTTGGTTTTGGAAATAGGAAAACCAATGAAATAAATCACTTCTAGATGGCGTATCAAGATAAATAATATAATACACTAAATTTTAGGTTCGACCTTCAGGACCATAACTGTGAAAATTGGTATAGTAGTTTTTATATCATATGGAAAAAAATATACGGACAGAAAGACAGACAAACATTTAAATTAAAACAAAATTTTTTTAAATCTATTAATATAGTATTTAACAATGAGCCGATTCTGAGGTTCCGTTTCTCTAAACCAGAGTTTCTTAAACTAATTGTACCCCTGTTAAAAAACATTTGAATTAGGTCCTAAAATTTAGGAAACAAATCATTTTCTTTTTTTTTTAGATTTGTAATTTGATGATTTCCCCAAAGCACTGTTTATGGGGCATCATAAGCTAAAATTATAATAAATTTGACTTAAATCTATTAGAAAATTAATTCATCTTGGTCCTTGTAATAAAGATTTCGCTGCGATATCAAATTGAAACTTTAATTTTGATATAGATTTAGATACGTGACGCCTCAGAATTGGCCTTTTTTTACTTGCAGTGAAAATAACGGCGGGACATTACGCCCTGATGGTTTGGTCATGGGGCTACTTCGCGTTCGACCTTCTCTGGTGTCTTGTGTATATGAATGAAAATTCGCTTATACTGTTTCACCACGCCAGCGCCCTTATTGCTATCACATTATATATGCAGAAGGACTATACTGGCTGTACATTTGCTTGCACGCTGGCGCTTTTGGAAGTTACCAATCCTCTACTTCAAATAAGATGGTTGAAACTTTATTTATCACTAAACAGATTCTGCGGTTTCAGCCGCGTGAATCAATTATATATTGAAGTATCCAATATGTTAAATTAAGATATAACCTATCCGTATATCAGCCTTCATTCAAATCCATTCAATAGTTTTTGGGTGAAAGCGCAACAAACATCCATCCGTAAATTCTAGTAAATTTTCGCATTTATAAGTAGGTACTAGAATGTAATAGTAAAATTTCGCATCTCGAATGCATGACTTGGGATCCTGTGTTTAGTAAAGACTCTAGTGGACCTATTTTTAACAATATATCTCCTGTTGGATCGACCTCCTCTCGCTTCGTCCTCCCGGAAACCATAGTAATTAATTTCTGGATTCGTCAAGATAGTTTTATGGATCTGCCGTCATTCTCACCTATCACGAGTATCAGTCATTGGTACTCTGCCAACGTATAGAACCCTATCTGCGGGTTGACATTCCATTATTATCTATAAAAAACCGTTAAGAGATCTTAATTAATACGTACCTAGATAAAATATAAGTAACACCAGTTTTTGCTACATTTGTTTCATTAGTAATGTTTACTATCCCTAAATATTTAATCGGACATTTAAGTTGACAAAAATACCCAGGGAACTAACTAAACTAATAAATAATTTTGAAATGGACACATGGACTTTTAGGCTCAAAATTTTTCCTCATTCAGTTTACACTAATAGAACATTTCCTACTTCTTAATTGTATCTCAAACCTTTACTTTTTACCAGTTTTTGCGAAGAGAAAATAAACCATTCATTCATTAATTCAACTTTCATGATTTCGATTTAACGGTGTATAAAAAAAAAATCTGCCCAATTGAATGGCGTTCTTCTTTTTGAAGTAGGTTAAAAAAAAGTTCTTTGCCAAGTCGTATAAAAAATTTTACTTAGTTCCTTAACATAAAAGATCGATATATCATTGAGTAGGTAGGTATTTACATTATTATTGTGACTGTATAATTACTGTTTCATTGTTCCTAATCATTACGTAGCTATAAAACATATGATTAAGGTATGGAAATAAAAATAAAATATATATGCTCAGAACTAATATCTCTGATAGGGCAGTTTGAGGCATAGTTGACTTTTGACATTGCGATGAATGCAACTCTTGACATCCCAATACGAGATTTCATGGAGATATTAGAATCCAATGGCAATGTGGTATGAAAGTTTCGTACTTATTGCTCTTGATGGCACTACCGAATTTTAGCATCTCAATTCAATTATACAGAAAAATGCCGATATACATCGTGAATCTAGACAGAATTTAGCTCTAGATCGTTGTAATGGCGACAGGTCTCGGGAGCCGTATGCAGGTCCGTATGCCCTTCAAACTTTTTAGTTTGAAACTTACCTTTCAATAATGTTTATAAATAAATAGATAGATAATTTATTTGTATTACTTATTGCACAAAAATTATAACATGTATAGATATACATAATAGATATACATAAAAAGCGAGATAACATAAATGATTAAAAAAAAATACTTAAAGCCAAGTACAATTTTTTCTTTTGTGCGTGTGCTATAACAATACAAAATGGTTACAACTCCGTTTATTGCTTCGCCCTCAAAAGAGCAAAGCACTGATATTCTGTTGCGGCCAAAGGGAACAGGGTAACAATAAAATAATACTACCAGATTATCTATACAGTAAAATGACAGATATAATAGTCGAGCAGAGAAATGGAACATAGAGGTATCTTGCTGAAATATCTAATTTTTGCCTCTCAATTAAGAATTAAGATTTTTTTTAAATTAATTTTTAAAACTAGACTTAGTGGCAATCAGTCTTATGGGAGGTGGTATATTGTTCCAACATTTTGTGGCTTGATATCGAAAGCTACCATTAAAAGCTGCTGTTTTATGGGGATGACAAGCTAGAAGAAAACGTGACGCTTTAGTACTGTAATTATGTAATTTGTTGAATTTAAGTTTAAAAAAGAGGTACTTGGGTCTATGAAACTTCAACACATCAAAGATTAAGCAAGCCAGTAAAATCTTTTATAAGACCTGTCGTCATGTATGGATCTGAATGTTAGCATATAAAAACAATGAATGATATAAATACAACATGAATACAATGGGGAATGAACGTCATATTTTAAAGGTATTAAATATGAAAATGGATGGATGAAAGATGAATGCACTGTATGAAAGGTAATATGCATAAAAGAGGAATGAGGCCACGTATGACAGCTGAATAATAGGGATTTATGGAAGAAATATTACGCCAATTGTGAATAAATAGGAAAAGGGTAAGATAATCATTCAGAGTAATATGGTTTGTTAACGGTGTTATCTCTTACATTCTTACTCGTTTGTCGAAAATTTAAATTTACATACGATTTTTTCTGCCAAAAAAGTCAGGAACAAGTTAGTGATGGCGAAGTCGCGACATTGAACGATAATAAATATATATTATATATCTATTTTTGACATGTATTTTTTTATGGATGATAACGTAATAGTAACCTCATCTGCATTATCGGTATACGCTTGCGGGGAACCAGTGAGCGATGATAGATGAGGATGAAAGCAGATCTGTTAGCCTATTATGACGAATTTCACAAGAATTAACCAAGACGGTTTCTAGACGGAAAGGATGGAGGTGGACCTGATAGGGAAGGTATATTGCTAGGAAATAGAGCTATTAGATCCTCACTACTAATAATTCATTTACCCTATTCTCGACAGGTTTCTTAAACACGAGGGATATGACAAAACTATAATATATATTGTAGTAGAAGCATTATACTTAATAATGTTCCTCGCAGCGAGGGGCGTCTTCGGCACCTACATAATATACAAGATATTACAATCGGATATATTCGATCTGGACGAAAAATTTATGTCCGTTGTATTCTATATAGTATCAATAGCATTCATTTACGATATATTTGGATACGTGCTTTATAAATACAAGAACAAAATCGTAAGTAGGTATTTTGTTTATTCCAACTAGTACATATTGTACGTTACCAATTGGGACTTGAAAAAGATTTTTACCACAGGGAGATTTTTTACAAGTATTGTCTAATTGAATAACTACCTCTGTCCCACTAGTTACAAAATGAGGTTTGACATCTTAGTTGTAAATTGAGGCAACAATTTAGAGTAGCCAAATGGAAATGTGTTCTCCAATATTTCTGGTGCAGTTTAAGTCTATAAGCGACTGAATATAATAAAAGCTACATACTACATCTAGAACATCAGAAGCACCGATTCAAACAATTTATATTGGATATAATAAAGAACTAATTTATATAATAGTTGTATCATTACTAGCTTAGTAAATTCATATATTCAATTAATATAATTATAGGGGGAAAGGGATCGTTAGTAATGGAGACTGAGAATCCCATTGCTAGCAATATACCCAACTAGGTCGACCTGCTCGCGGTTCACCCTGGAAACTATCATGGTTAAATCCTGATGAATTCATCATGATGGGCTAGCTGGCCTGTTTTCATTCTCATCTATCACCTTTCACTGGTGCTCCGCCAGCGTATCCTGCTAGCGCAGGCGGGGGTACCATACCATTTTCACCCATCAAAAAATATATATAATTATATTTCTCTATATTTAGATTTAAAAAATTAGACGAATATGAATTCTTTCTGCTCAGCCAAAGATGCAATTTATTATTTTTTCATCGACAACAATAAGAAATAATAATTTTGATTATAATTATTTTCAGGACGAATTTAAAGGATTTTTGGACGAAAGAGGAATTTTATTAAATGAAAGTTTATAACGTCAATTTAGAATGCACTTTTTAATAAAATATCTATGCAACAATCATAATATTTTAACTGCACAATTGTGAATTTTGTTGAATTACTTTAAAACGTAATTACATATTTATTTCAATAAAATAAAATTTAAAATCACCACAGAGGGCAATCTTATACACAATACTTTAGTGTATTTTGTAATATATTTTTATGATTTCAAAGCTAATGAAATATATTTAGAAAAATACAATAACACAGTAAAGTGATTGTTGGGTTTTATGATAAATAATAATACAATAAAAAATTATCTTAAAAAATTACTATTGTCCTACCGGAATGGGTAGTCAATGCAATGGGAAGCATTTGTCATTTGTTTTAATTATGATGGCCAACGTAATTGCCGATGTACCCACATTTTGCTTAGCATATTTAATTCTAATATGATATGTGGCAATGGTACAGTTGTCACTGATTGATTTATTAATGATATTACCACATCAGAGAGGTAGTTGGAATCATAAATTGACACTTTTTTGCTACAAGCCAGACTCAAACTTGAGAATTATGAGGACTATTACGTCTAAATTAATTAGGGAAGTGTATGAAATAACCCTTTGAAAAATTAATATTTGCCATATTTGCATGCAAATTATGAAAAAGTTATTTCAAAATTAGGGTTTTTGTGAATTTCATTTATTTTTATATAAAAAAATAATAAAAACAATACAATAGTTATACATGATAAAAACTACTTAGTTCTTTTTAAAGGCATTTTGTTTAGAATAAAAAATATGATAAAATCATTGATGTTTCTTTTTAGAATATAAATGTAGGTAATATTTACAATACTTTTAATTTACAATATGACTGGTCACATCTAAGTTTTACAGATCAATCTGAAAATTCAATATACTAAGATAGGCTATTTCACTCATATTGTAAAGTAAATTTAATAAATTTATTTATATATACATTAACAAAAATGTAGTCTTACCACAGAGATTTTAAAAAATTAATTATTCTTTTTTATAAAAAAAGTTTTTTTTATAATGAATAAAGATGGCAGCCAAATTACTGGTTTGCCATAGTGTCGTGTTTTTTTCTAATTTTGTATAATTTTTATGGTTTGGTCAGATAGAGTGTAAGTACTTTGTGGAAGTGGAAACTGTGCTTGGAAATATTATTTAGTATTAAATAATACCATGATATAATATCCATCAAACATGTTACAATATTTCCTGTTTGTTTTAATGACTACAGTAGTAAGTGTTGGGATTTTTAACATAGCAATGGGTGATGATTGCTGTTTTTAATGTCATTAAGGTGATATATAAGTATTTATAAATATCAAGCCAAACCCCACCTGGTAGTAACAAGTTACCTATGTAACAAGTTACTTCTTTTCTATCCAATTAATTTATCAGGATCATAACTGTTATATTAAGTTTTAATAAAGAATTTTAACTATATTTCTCAGTCTCTCCTATGATAACCACCTTTTTGGTGATTCCTTCTATCTCTCCAATTGTTTGTATGTTTGTTATGATTGTTACCTTTGTAGTTGTCACCATAGTTATCTCGTGACCTATATCCATCTCTTTTGTACAAATTATTGTCTTTATGTGGCCTATATGGGTGGTGTCTATGTGTCCAGTTACCCTGTAAACTTGCCATAACTAGCTTATCATTGTGATCTTGATTTTGTCGTACACTATGAATAGGGGCATAGTCTTCTTCTTTCATCTTCTCCGTCATGTCTACAAACTTTTGAGTCACATTATTTTGAACTTCAAAATCTGTGGTCGGCTCTGGACCGTTGCAACGTATTGGTGGTGGGAGTTGCATTGGACGGCCTCGGAACTGCAACATTAGCTTTTTATGGAACAGTGCAGTCCCTTGAAACAGGTGATAGGCATACGGAACAGACACTTCGTGGCAATAGGTTATAAAAGCATAACTTTTCTGACGACCATCTTTATCCTTCCCTATTCTTACCCTCTCCAGTGGCCCTGCCTGAAAATACATATACATCAGCCAAATGAAAAATGCAAATACGAAACATTAGGTACAGAATTTAGATGCTAAATATATGTAACTTCTACCTGTAAAAATAACTCGTACAGTAACTCTTCAGTAGCTTGTTCAGGTAAATTACCACACCATAATGTTGTCCTGTCTTCTTCGATCATTTTTGTATATTAACAGTATACAAAAGATTCACGAAAGTTATTAAAACACATTGATATTATATTTTCGAGTTTTGAATACAGATTATAGATACTGGCTTTGAACAATAGAGAGAATTACTTTTAGTTCTCTGTACGAATCTAAGAACAAGGATTTTCACAGAAGAAATGATAAAATAAAAATTTTAAATCATATGGTTGTTTCCTTTCTTCTTCTGCAAATATAATTAGTAAAAAGAGGACGAAAGATAGAGCATCAGTGTTATTTTTGGCAAATAGAAAATGTTATACGACCGTATCAATTCAGATTCAACCTGCTTGCATAATTTCTACATAAACTGTGTCGAATATATAATCTAGTAATGTAAAATTTGTCATTAACAAATAATTGGAGTAAGTATTGTTAATCTATTGGCAACACTAGCTCTAAAAAAAATATTCGAAATTATTTTCCAGAAAAAAGCGCGGGAAACGTTTAAAAAAGCGGGAGTGTTTTTTGATCTTCTTTAAATTAATTTTATTTTTAATTATATAAGGATTAGTTTTATTTATATATTGTGTATTAGATTGTATATATAATTGTATATTTTGTAGTAATAGTGTTTGTTGCTGTAAATATTGGTAAGTAAATTACCTATATTAATTAGACATTATGGATCCACCTATAGACCCTGGGGGGACAACCCCCCAGGTGTCTGCAAATATAACTATCCCATTTGATAATAGTTTTGATATATTGGGTGAATCTAGTATGGACACAGATGGTTCTAGCGTTGCAAGTTCTAAACGTAAGCGAGTACGTGGCGAACGTCGCATTTGCAAACATTGCAATAAAAAACGAAGGAGGCACACCAAAGGTCTCGAATCTAAAATTAAAGATAGTGATTGTCAATGTATTGAGGATGAGAATCAAACTCTAGTATCAATACCAGTTGTAAATAATACCGAGTCTGTTAAACCTGCTTCTCCACCCAGTACTTTAAGCAGAACTTTGTACAATGCCGAGGATGTAGCTCCTTATGTCGTTCATGTACAAAAAAATGAAACACATCCTAATGATAACACTACATTACATCCTATTGCATTTGGTCGCTTTTTACACACTAATAAGATAAATAATATAGTGAATGGTAGCCTCAAAAGAATAGGAAGAAACCGTTTATCGCTTTCTTTCTCAAATTTTGAAAATGCAAATGCATTTTTAAATAATAGTCACTTAGAAACACATAATTTTAAGGCATTTATACCTTCTTTCCATGTAACCCGTATGGGAATTGTGAGGGGTATTCCTAAAGATTGGACAGAAGAGGAAGTAATCTAAAATATATCAGTACCTATAGGTTGTGGGAGAATTCTAAAAACCAGAAGAATTAAGAAAAAGACCATTAATGAAGGACAACCAAGTTTTATTAATACTGAAACCATTGTTATTACTTTTGATGGACAAATATTACCAAAAAGAGTATTTATGTTTTACACATCATTAACTGTAGATTTGTACATTTACCCCACTATCCAATGCTATAACTGCTGTAGGTTCGGACATGTCAAGATGCAGTGTCGTTCAAATCCTCGGTGTTATAAATGCAGGAAAAATCATACAGGTGATAAATGTGAAGTAGATGAGGAAAATGTTTCTTGTATCTTGTGTAATGGTTCTCATTCAGCAATTAGTAAGAAATGTCCTGAATATGCACGTCAGAAAGCCATTAAAGAAACAATGGCCCACAGTTGTGTTTCTTATGCTGAAGCATCAAAATTTCATCCTCCCACTTCTAAACTATATTCAGATGTATTAACATCATCATCTCCGTCCAATAAATCTCATTTTCAATCTTCTTTCCTCAAAGAGAAATCATCATTACCACATATTCAATCATCACATAAAAAAACAGTTACACTTAAACCACGCTCTCCTCAAAAAGCACAACAAGGATATGATCGTTCTGCCCATGAAGCCATAGTTAAGGAATATAATATTCCTGCTCCCTCTAATGGTTGTGCATTATCATCAAATAATATTGACAATAATCAATCCATCTTTGATATTATTCTCATGCTTATTAAAGTGTTATCGCAATCGAAAATGATACAAACAACTTTACCACCGTCCAACGATGCCATTTACAATGTATTTTCTCAATTATTAACTTCTCACAATGGATTACAAAGTCCTAATAATTCAGTGGAACTGTCGTAGCATAACAAACAAGAAATCAGACTTATTTTATTTGATTAATAAATATAATCCTTTTATAATAGCTCTCCAAGAGACTTGGTTAAAGCCAGGATATCCTTTTAGGATTTCAGGCTTTACAAGTCTCCGTGATGATAGAGCTGACGGATATGGCGGTGTTGCCATATTGGTCAAAAACTCCCTTCCTTTTTCTTCTTTTTCGCTTCCTGTATATAGCGGCATTAATGCAGCTGCTATAATTATAAATGGTATCTGTTTTGTTACTTTATATATTCCTGATCCTACATGCCAAATATATTCCCAACTAGAACAATTATTTTCAATTTTACCTAAACCTTTTCTCGTAATGGGCGATTTTAATGCTCAACACCAATCGTGGGGCAGTTCTACTTCTAATTTTTATGGTGGAAAACTCCTGACGATAATTGACACTTACAACTTATGTATTATTAACTCAGATGTACCAACACGTAGAACTGCACCGAATGAAGGGTTTAGTGCTCCTGACATTTCAATATGTTCTTCTGATTTAGCTTCTTCACTGTCGTGGTATCCTCATTCCTCTACTTTCGGAAGCGATCACTTTCCCTCATTCTTTCTTTTCCAATTTCCATTCCCTCAAGTCGAAAGAGTGGTCCTCGGCTTAAATATAATTTATCAAATGTAGACTGGAATATTTACAAACAATATTTAGATAATAAAATATCGGAGTTACCTATTGTTTACCATGGAAATGAACATCAATGTTGTAATGACTTGATGATAAATATGAAGGAGGTTGCTGATTTATTATTTCCTGTTAAAAATAGTGCTTCAGGGAAAATTCCCTCGCCACCTTGGTGGGACAAAGATTGTACGGAAGCAATTAAAAATCGTAAAGAGGCTGAAAAAAATTATAATAATTACATGACACCAGAAAATTTTGAAATTTACACCGCAGTTTCACGTTCTACTCGAAAACTACTGAAAAAAAAGAAATTAGAAGGCTGGAGAAGATTTTGTTCTTCTATCTGTCCAGAAGTTAATTCATCAGTCGTTTGGAATAATATTAAAAGATTCAGATCTGCCTTTAGTGATCATACATCACGTTCTGCACTCGATTTAACTTTAGCGAATAAATTTTTAGATCGTCTTGCTCCTAGTTATGTGCCGGAATGCCTTTACAATATTTCTCTATCCGTCTCTGACGAATTATTCGAACTTGACTCTCCTTTTACTCTAGTAGAACTTAAAGGTGTTCTAGCTTCTATTAAAGACTCTGCACCGGGAGAAGACGGTATACCGTATTCCTTTTTTAAAAATGCTAGCGATGCGACATTAATTTACTTTTTAAATATAATTAATTCCATAATTATTTCGGGAAATATACCTACTTCATGGAAGTCTCAGATTATTATACCATTTCTAAAGCCTAAATATCATCAAAACCAGACAATAGCGGTTGTGTAGGTGTGGGTGTGTTTCATTCACAATTTAATATCGTTCAAAAAATTAAACTTCCACCGGAGTCTTCAGTTTTTACCGGGGAATGTTATGGTATTTTAAAAGCTGTAGAATATATACTTTTAATGAAATTACATAAGGCAATAGTTTTCACTGACTCTATGAGCTCTTTGCAAGCTCTAGCCAAATATCCGTTTAAATCAAAACCAGTTTATCCCATTATTTGTGACATAAGACAAAGTCTTTATCTTTGCATGTTGAGAGGGTATTCCGTTTCTTTTGCCTGGTTACCAGGACACAGTGGTATTAGCGGCAATGACAAAGCTGACCTTATTGCAAGAGAGGCTGTAACTTGTGGTGATATGTATCCGTATCATAATTACTGTAGTGACCTAGCTTGTCTCCCAAAAATATATTTAAGGTATGCCTGGAAGGAATATTGGGAAAAAACAAGTACAATAAAAGGAAGATTTTATCGCCTTATACAACCCGATATTCCTTTCAAACCATGGTTTTGTAAATTAAAGCTTGGAAAGACCGCAACAACTATTATAACTCGTATGCGTCTAGGTCACGTATGCACACCTTCTCATTTATACAAGCTTGGTATTGTACAAAGTTCGTCGTGTAATTGCGGTGCTGAAGTGGCGGACTTGAATCATATATTCTTCTCATGTTCTAAATTTGACCACACCTCCCTTTTTAATCATCTCCGATCCATCCGTGTTCCATTCCCAACTTCTATTCTTACTCTACTTTCTTCCAATGATCCTATTATCTATAAAATACTATCTTCATATATATATGATAACAATATTAAGATTTAGTTATATTACATGAATACATTTATAGTTGCATCAATTGCTTTTCCTATATATTTATAAGTATATTCTCATATGTACAAGTATATGTTTCATATCCTATAAATATCCTAGACCTAATCCTTATCCTTTCTAAATTCGTTTGTGTTAGGTATTTTTATTACTATTATCGTTTCCCCGTTTTGTTCTTGGCAAAATACCCTAATATCGGGGTGAACGCCACAAAAAAAGAAAAAAAAAAAAAAAAAAACAAATAATTGACATATCAAACATTTTCTAAAGAAAAGGTAAGATAGCAGCTAGAATTTCTATCTTTCCTTTGTATTGCTGTCAAAAATTTTTTGTCTTTGACAGTCGTCATAGAATAGATTAGTAGACTTCATTCATTTGTTGTGATTAACAATGCGCGATTCCGAACGATTGTATTTATCGATAAATTAATAATTACTAATGTTAAAACTCGAGTCCACAATTAGAAATGTACTTATTTCCGTATTCGATCGATTTTAATAATTACAACAAAATCCTTATCCTGTATCTGCTACTACCAAGCCATTCCAGTCTGTGTTTTATTAGATGCAGATTCTGTTATTAGATCACTATGTTAATGAAAACGATTCAGAAAAAAGCTAGCAAATACATCAATTTCATAATATACGTTATAATAATTTCCTTATTATTTACTTTCCTACTTACTTTAATAAAAACTATCGCATTTTACTAAAAGTTCATTTTGTTTGTCACAAATTATTTGTTTGTCGGCTATGTTCGTGTTGACTCGTACATAAACGACTACTAACGAATAAAGTTAATAGTCGGACGATATTAATAACCGGCTGACGTTAGTAGTCGGATGAATAAACTTAGTAGTTGAATAATTTGATATTCAATTGAATAATCGAATGATTTGTTTCGTCGTATAATTAGTAGCCGAATTAGTAAAGTCGCGCATCGCTATTTGACATGTGTTCACATAGTGTATGTTTATTACTTATTTATTCATTAAGAGTTTTTACTTAATTTTCATTTCAATACATTTATAATTAACAGTAACAGTAGCTGGTATAGAATACTCATAAATATAAAATAGAGACTGGATGTAAAAATATCCTATTTCAATGATATAACTAGAAATTTTGTTTTAATATGTTTGTTGTATAGAAATCGTCAATAATGTATCAAAGTGTACGTATTGAAGAAAAAGTTAACTAGATTCGTAATAAATAATATTCTCTTTAGTACGTAAATCCTTTGGACTTCTTTAAGGTTAAATCTGCACCATGGACGACCCCAGCAAATTCCAACAGATGCAAGATGAAATGTCTAGGTTAGTATCTATAGACTAAACTGATTCCTAAATTATACACCAATAAAGTTAAAAATATACTCAAATACCGTCTTATTGTAATATTTTTAATACCTAAATAAATTATTCTGTGATTTTACGTTTTTTAAATATACTTGGGGTTCATAGGACGTAGACGTTTACTATATACTAAATGTATCCCGCGGCTTTGGCCGCGCGAATCATTAAACTATGTGTTACATATAAAGTATGTGTTAAATTAGAGTATAACCTATCCCTCTTAACAAATTTCATTTAGTAATTTTTGCATAAAAGACTAACAAACATCAATTCATTTTAATAGGATTATTGATTTTTGCAAATAGTATAGCAAAATAATACACAAGCTTTGTGAGTCTTCCAATGACAACCTATTTTTCTTATCTACATTTAAAACAATTTTAAATAAAAAAGGTCAATTCCAAATGTAACAACTTTGGATTAGATATAGAAATCTTTTACAGTAAATATGGCTATAGACCAAAATGATAGAATAGTTTGATTTATTATAATCCTTAAAAAATATCACAACATGTAATATTCTATGGTTACACCATTCGTAGTAATTTTATCTTCATGTAAAAAAAATGTATTTATTTTGTATCCTGTTTTTACTTATTAGACCACTAATAGTAGAATAATAATAATAAACACATTAAATGGAAAGGGTTTTACTTAGTAGTATAATAAATGGCAGTGGTACAAATATATAAAACAGCATGATATGTACTTATATATACATATGAGGTGTGATAATGTAAAATTCTGATTCAGGTTCGAAGCGGAAATATCCGGTGCAGATATACCAACAGTGGCGCTCCGGCCTGTCATCGCTGCAGGCACGTTTGGAGCAGTACAGCGGCAGCTGGAAGGCACAGTGCCTCCACCTCCGCCTCCTCCATCGCTAATGCCACCATTTGATCCCAGCATGCTCGGTGCAAGGATGATGTTTCCAACCGTTCCACCCCCACCACCACCGCCATCAATGATGGTGCCCGCTTCGGTATGTATTTAATTCCTTCTTTATGTATACATAATTTTCATGCTCCAGAACAGAAAAATATTTACTGGAAAACAGCAATGTTACATTTGTATTAAATTTAAATAATTAAAAAATTAGCTATGTAAGCATACAAAAATTACCTATGAAGAAGTATTGTTGATGTGGTGTAGATATCTAGCGTTGGATGAAGCACAGTACAGTCAAAACTAACAATCCTTAACTATTTAATTTATATAGCTGTGGTGCATTTTCCTTGTCAAAATAATCTTTAATCTAATTCAAGCCATTTATATGAATCATCTCGTCATAGTTGTAGAATACTGACGGATCTTTATATGTAATCTTTGTCAGATCCGTCAGTATTCTACGACTATGACGATCTGTTTAAATTTGGGCCTACCTTCCATCCTGTATACATCCATTCAGTATTTCCTATAGTAAGAAAATTTACCATATCCCTACAAATGGAATTGTATTGTACATGGCAGTTTTTACAGACTGCAAGGGGTAATGATGATGGAAAATGATAACCGTCACCTATAGACATGAGCAGTATCATGGACATAACAGAGTATACTGTTTCGCCCATGATACCCCCCATGCGTTGTCATTCCTGCAGACTCAGGTGTTATTCCTCTGTACCCTGTAAATTTACGCCATATCCCACCCTTCAAACCAAAACACAGCCATGCAGACAACTGCTTTACGGTTGAAACACGAATGGGACAGGTACCCAAGCAATCGACTTTTGTACAAAGTCTCCCTCAGGTGAATTTATTTATGAGGTAGGTATTACAAAACATTCTCAGTTATAAAAACCAAAACAAATTATTATTATTAAAAATCATAATATACACAGTACCAATTTTTTAATAACTGCATTTTAGTGATTACTGATCAGACATTTGATTATATATTTTTAATTTTACTATTGTACACAAGAGATATTATTTCTGCTATTTTTTTTCCTTTGACTTAGTAATTAATACAGCAGTGTTAAATATATTACAGGTACAACGCCTAAGACCACCCGGTGCTCCAGATAACTTCCCAACACCAATGCCATTTCTCCGGCCTGGGGTCCCTGGGCCGCAGCTGATACCTCCGCCGCCGCCCAAGCCACAGCCCGCCGTGCTGTCTGCTGCACCTAAACTGTACAAACAACCAAAGGATGATGAAGAAAAAAAAGAGAAACATGAAAGTAGAAAGAGAGTGAGTGTTTCCACTACTGATATTATATCAATATATATATAGTAGTATTACATGTTAGTAATACTTAGTACAGACTAATATAAAAAAGTGGAAAGTTTGTTTCTTTGATTCCAATAATCTCTGATGCTCTTAATTTGATATTTTTCATTCAAACTGCCTTTTTTCTTGGCAAAGTAAATAACTGCTGTAGCAAAACATAATCTCGTGGTTCCATAAAACTGAATTCTAAATTCAAATGTCAAAACATCTAATGTATGTATGAAATATTATTCATTGAAGTCACAATATTTTTTTAACGACAGTAATAACAGTATTAAATTCTTGAAATATTTTAAGATTGTGGTATTAAATTGCTCACCTTTAAATTATTAAAAAATTGTAACAACAAATTTTATACTTAAATTTGAGGGAACAAACAACAGTAAACACTTTTAACCTCTATTTATTGATTTGTTCTTTTTTATACCATGAAGGTTGCAAACAAGTATACATCCTCCAATGATATTATATACATACAAGTGTTGCCATGCAATTATTATTTTTAAAGTGAACAGCAAGCATAATGTTTTTGTTAGAAATTAAATTGATGTGTGTATGTATAAGCCGTTAACTGTCCACTGCTGAACATAGCCTCCCTCTTACCTTTTGCCTGTAGTTGCCACGTTTGGCAAGCGAGTTGGTAACTACAATTTGGCTATTGGTGATGTTTTAAGAGGGATGCTACTGCCTAGCCCTCCACCACAAGTTCCCTTAGTCTTACGACACCCAAGGTAAAGAAAGAAGTGGCCTATTCTATGCTAGGATCTATATGTGGTTAGAATTTTTTTTTATACAACTTAGAACGGCAAACAAGCTGACGGCCTACCTGATGGAAAGTGGTAACCGTCGCCTATAGACATGAGCAGTACCATGGACATTACAGAGTATACTGTTTCGCCCATGATACCCCCCCATGCGTTGCCATTCCTGAGGACTCAAGTGTTATTCCTCTGTACCCTATAAATTCACGCCATATCCCACCCTTCAAACCGAAACACAGCCATGCAAACACAACTGCTTCACGGTAGAAACACGAGTGGGACAGAGGTACTCAAGCAATCGACTTATTAAATGTCATTTGTAGAAGCGAGAGCCTCCGCCACCGCCTCTGAAGCCCGAGCCGGTAGTAGTGCCCGAGCCGCCGCCGCAACCTCAGCCTCTGCCCGTTACCGTTACAGAAGCTGTGGCACCCAAGGTTAAGAAAGAGAAGAAGAGTAGAAAGGTAAATTTTAACAGAGTCACTTGTACTTATATTAGTATTTACCCGCGACATCCTTTGCATTATTTGTTGTTTGTTATAATTAAAAAACATGATGGACTGTATTAAAAAGGTATCTTACCAGTATATACCAGATTTTAAGTCATTTAGTTGAGTCAGTGAGGTGCTAAAACATAGAAAAATAAATTCACTCAGGATCAACCTTAGCTCTTCTGCCCCTCTGGGAAAATTTTCGGCTGTGCTTCCTTTGAGACTAAGATGTTGCAACTCTTCACTGAGGTGCATTTTATGACAAGAACGTCGCCGAGGTTCATATCATTTGAATTTAATGCCATGTGATTCTTAATTGATCTAATGGCGTCCATCACCTCAGCGCTTCCTTTGGACCTCAACGCCTCCGAGCGTAAGGCCTCCTAATAATAACGTGTAAGGATTTGGAGTTCAATAAGGACTTATATGTGTATATCTTAGTTTTTGTAATCTGGTACTGCTTAGTAATTTGTGTTCAGACGAATTCATAATTTAAAAAGTCTCAAGATTTCGATAAAAAGTATCAGTGGTATTTCTGCCTGGTTCTGTTTCTTGACAGTAGAATTATCAAGATGACCTATTAAATTTAAGTTTTTTTTTTTTTTATTGTAGCATGACATATTACCACAGGATCCTGAGTGAACACAGAGACAATATGATCCATGAATACGATCAACCGAAAAGAGAATGATTTATTCTCAACGGTTGATTGCACTATGCTAGCTTACTAAGTACTTTTTCGCAGTACTCTCTTGCTTTGTATATCTTTATATATGTTGTGTTATGCGGTAGGTGGTGCGCACGGCGGGCGGGCAGGTGTGGGAGGACGTGACGCTGCTCGACTGGCCTGACGATGACTTCCGTATGTTCTGCGGCGACCTCGGCAACGACGTCACCGACGAGCTGCTGGTTAGTATCGCTGAGTGTACTGCTCGCCAGAGGGAGCCTCTGTATAACAGTTGTCTGCTTGGCTAGCTCTAGCTCTCCTGGTTCTACCATTAAGTAGATTGTCAGTAGTCTTTTTGAATATTGAATGCGATTTAAAAACTCTGGTTGCCAATAAATGAAGATAGAATGGAGGGATAGGGAATTACTTTCCCTATCTCTCCAAAAGCCCTATCGCTAGCAATATACCTTATTATTGGAAATCATTGGAGGTAATTCTTGTGGAATTCTTTACTGTGGACTAACTAACCTACTTCCATCTTCATCTATCATCTCTGGTGGTGTATGGTGTCCCGCCACTCATGTTTCTGCCGTGTCCGTGCAGCCATTGCGTGTTTATATGGCAGTGAAATTATGGGGTATAGAGGCACAACGGTTATGAAAAAAAATTACTATTAATTTTTTTTTTATACAACTTAGAATGGCAAACAAGCCGACGGCCCACCTGATGGAAAGTGGTAACCGTCGCCTATAGACATGGGCAGTACCATGGTCATAACATTATATCTGCTTCGCCCGTGCGTTGCCATTCCTGAGGACTCAGGTGTTATTCCTTTGTACCCAATAAATTCACGCCATATCCCACCCTTCAAACCGAAACACAGCTATGCAAACACAACTGCTTTACGGTTGAAACACGAATGGGTCAGAGGTTCCCAAGCAATCGACTTTTGTACAAAATCTCAATGAGGAATTATATGCTATTGATTTACAATTTGCTTTTTAGATATAATGTTTATTACTGTATTTTTTCTTCCCAGACGCGTACATTTAGCAAATACAGTTCATTCCAACGCGCCAAGGTTATAAGAGACAAACGGACGAACAAAAGCAAGGGTTTCGGTTTTGTCAGCTTCAAGGATCCTGGCGACTTTATTAAAGCAATGAAGGAAATGGATGGTAAGATTTTTTAAATTTATATCTATAGTATTAAATAATAATATAATAAATTCTAAAATAAATATAAATAAATTTGTTAGTCTTGCTAAGACTCAAAAACAGTTTGACCTTTTTAAACAATATAAAGATTTTAAAAGACCGATTGAGAAATTGTATCATGGGCGAAGCAGTATACTCTGTTATGTCTATGGTACTGCTCATGTCTATAGGTGACGGTTACCACTTTCCATCAGGTGTACCGTCAGTTTGTTTGCCAATTTAAGTTGCATAAAAAATATATATATAAAGGCACAAAAGGCGGTATCATCGCTAGGGCTATCTCTTACAGATAGCCTTTGGTTAAACGAGATATACCATATAGAAATGGTTAGGTGGCGCAAGAGTGAATTAATAATTTTAAAATTGTCACATTAATATTTTAATTTTTTCAGGCCGGTATGTAGGCAGTAGACCGATAAAACTAAGGAAGAGCACGTGGAAGAATCGCTCTCTGGACATAGTGAGGAAGAAGGAGAAAGAAAAGGCGGCTCTGCTCTCGCTTCTAATGTCGGCGAACAAGAGTTGACACCAAAATAACTAAACGTGTAGGCTGACATTGTACATTAGTAGTTATATATATTTTTTTCTTTTCCTAAGTAAAAAGCCTTACCATTTTTTAGGAATTAGTCTTTCAAATCCTTCAAGATATAAATTAGTTGTTTGCCCCGATTTCGAACAGGTGTACTAATTTTCAGCTTTTCGACGTTTTTTTTTTTTAAAGATTTTCTTTTATGCAAAACGTGTCTTGATAATTACAAATACAACACAACAAAAAAAAAAAAAGAATTAGTCAAATATGAGCAGCCTTTCTGAAGTGAAATTTGAATACATTCGGCAATTAAACTTTATGTATACATAGATGTGCAAATTTGTAAAGATGTTTACATGTTTGTTAATTAAACACGCTTAAACGGCTGAATGAAATTGAATGAATTTGGTATGACAATGTCACATTTTTTAATTGAGAGAGAAATGTATATGTGACTGACTTGTAGTTGTTCTGAGTTGATAAATATGGACTACTAGCTTTGTCTATTTAAATATATTAATTCAGAAGGATAAGCAAGCTGCAGTGGCCCAATGCCACTATCATATAGTTCGAAGAACCTACAACTGATGGGGAAGCAAGGTTCTTGAGTGGCGACCCCGTACGGGCAAACACAGTGTAGGACGATCCCCTATTAGATGGAGTGACGATTTGAAATGCATTGCAGGGAGTCAGTGGATGCAGTTGACTCAGGCCCGTTCTTTATGGCAGTCTATGAGCGAGGCTTATGTCCAGCAGTGGACGGATAGTGGTTGAAATGATGATGATAGTGATTCAGAAGGTATTTACAAAGAAAATAATATAGAAAAACGGAAACTAAGAGTGCGGGAGGCGAGCGATCGAGATAGAGAAGATGGCACTATTATATGCAAGAAGAAACACCACTGTCATGTCTGTGCGTCCGGCCAGAAGGAAATATGTGAAATAATTATCTACAATTTAATTAGCCTACTTAATGGGAAAGGAAGTGGTGATATTTACAAGTGGCTCTGAGATGAATATGTACATTATTTATCAACAGACACCACAGACATTCAAATCTAGAGCTGTAACTTTAAAGATGTTTCTTTTTAATATCTAATTAAATTGAAATTGTTTTAATACAGTATTGATTAAATTAATTAACGTATTTAGTAAAAACAATTATAGTAGGCAATGAGGTTGTAAATTATATTTAGTTGCAGTATTTTTTTAAATAAAGTACATTTAATATAACTGTATTTTAATTGGCGTAAGAGGCGACTAAGGGAATTTAATACAAGGGAAATTAATAAAGGGGATGGGCAGCTGCATTTTTCTTAAAATATTAACAAAAGTCTAACTGCAGTTGCCAACCCACCTTTACCACGTTGCCAAGCGTGACAACTACTGACAAACCCCCCATATGGGAGTGGACATAGGTTCAGCAGTGGACACTTAACGGTTGGTATGATGAGGACATAACACAAGCGGCTGTGTAGTTACAACAACACGACTTATATTCAAAAATGTTAAATAGTACTTACGTTATCTACGTTCACCACGGATGTACGAAGCACTGCTGGTAAACACGCACGGCAATTCATTAGCAGTTTGGGGTAGCAACCTCTCAATGTTGGACAAGAGAATACTCTTATTTATACCGAACACGGTAAGCACGGTTTCCGGAAGGCTATTAGTATATGATGTATTGTGAAACGTTCACACTTTACTGGAATCAGTAGAGTAGGCGCTTAAGGGCGCTCTGCCAGGCGTCATCGCAATATCCACTGATGACAGTTAACCACAAAATTGATGGAACAAAATGTGTGATTACCCATCAATATTGGTAAGGATCGAACATGGCTAGTAGTGGAAGCATGTTCGGCGGTAGGCTCAGTTTCGATCGTAAAACGCAAGAATGGAGTATTTTTCAAAGCCCTTTTGTACAATACTATGCAGTAAATGACATCGACGATAGCACGGACAAGGCGGGGATAAAACGTCGTGCGTTGTTACTCAGGGCGCTGGCTGAAGATATTTACCGAATAGCGATCGATTGAACGTTTTCGACCTCTGTGAAGAGTATCGACGACAAAGCGTTGATTAAAATTTTAAATAGTCATTTCAAAAATAAAAATAGTTTGGTGAACGGCTCAAATCAACTCGGCAAAACAATGAACCAGATGAAAAGTTAACGAAATGGTTCGAAATTTACCTCAACTAAGGGCTCAACATTGTGGGTACAAAACAGAAATGGAAATAATGCTTCGAGATCGTTTTTTCTCGGTACGATATATTCTAAGGAGAAAAAAAACTTTTAACTAAGCTCTGGAAATCACTCAATGTGTGCAATGTGCATGGCAAGCACTGCGAGAGGTGGACATGAACGTAAGCGGAAGAGTGCTGGCGCAGCCGGCGTTCGCACTACATAAAGAGCACAGCGAGCGTGGCTGCGATGGCGGCTGGCCCCGGAGACGCGCCGTGTCTGCAACACTGCTAATTGGTGTGATGTGTGTGTTTACAAAAATCATTCAAAAATAAGTGTCATAAACTCGGTAATCGGTGTAAGAAGTACAATCAAATTTGTTACGGATGTAAATTGAACGTGAAAAGTAATTATTTTTGACTGTGAATTATGACGGCACTGTTAAAGGTACAAGTATCATCATCATCTTCCTACCCTTATCCCAATTATTTGGGGTCGGCATAATATGTTTTTATCCATATTACAAAAAGATTTGGCTTTTAGTTTTACGACCGGCCACCTGCCTAATGTCAATCCTCTTTGGGAATGCATTTGTTGGTGGTTTCCATCACCTACGGTATAGAGAAAAGGATTGAGGAAAAAAGGAAGGGAACGTAGGAAATGTGTAAAGGAAAGGGGGGGACACTGCAGTTGCGGAAAGGATTGGGACACTGCAGCGGCTCGGGAGGCCGAGATCGCGTACCCGTATGCCCTTGTTCTAGAATCGGACAGATTTCTAGAAAAGAACACCCCTGACGACAAAGGTACAAGTATATAGAAAGAATAGTATAGAGTGTATTAATGATGATGAATGGTCTCAAAATAATAAAGGAAGTCGAAAGTAGTAGCGCTGTTTCTGGCTTACCCAATAATATATATCGGACCGTGTTTGAAAAAATAATAAGCTTACCGTGTCACAGATAATGTATCATGTGAAGTTGTTTTAAAGTGATATCATCCATAATGACATTAGTGACTTTGAATGGCGCACCAAGCCAATTATGTTCCGGATAAGTGCATCGACGCTGCACCTGCATAGTGTTTTTTGAGTGCAATTTATAAAAAAAGGTATAATTTCGTTACCAATACTTAATAGTGAAACATAGTTCATCATCTACAATAGGTCGAAAAATTGTTCGTTAATAAATCATAGCTTTGATAAACAGAGACAATGATTTGTCCGCGAGCAAACCTTAGTTAAATGGTGCGCTGAAACTCCATTCATTCAGAAATGGAATAGTATTGTATAGCAGTTTATAGTGTTTGAAATAGTGTGTTGCAATGTTATATAGATAGTTTATAGATTGTTTTACGTAATATTAATATTGTAATTTGTATAGAATGACAGTAAATAGCTTCGTTAATTTAGATATAAGTTGGAAAAAAAGAGATTTTTCTGATGGTTTTTTACTACAAGAAAAATTGATAAAAATAGGTAGGAACTAGACAATATACAGAATAGTATAGAAATAGCACATAATAGATAGATGGTGAAAAACATTAACATATGTTTTTTAAATAAAATGAAAAAAAAAATACGTCGATTTTCAGTCCGCTTTTTTAATTTCTATTTACAATACAAAAAAATACCGCTGCCATTACATTAATTATTTCACAACCAAAGATCAAATTATTTTTCTATATCTATTCATAGAATAATAATTGTGGAGGCTGGATAGAAAACAATTGAACTTAACAAAAATAGTTACTTAGATAGTACCTACAGACAGACAGTACAGTGTGCTACATAACATAAATAGACATTCGATAGTTTTACTGAATGAACGATAGTTTAAATGAAGATCAACACTTGAGTGTGACTCGTTGATCTTGGGACAAGTCCTGTCCACCGACCTTCTCTCCCAGGAAATGAGGGAGAGGATTGCGGTCTTGGTGAGGGATAAAGCCGCTCGGTTGGGGGACTAGCCTTCGCCTCTGTTAGAGGAAATGGAACCGGCAAGGGACTTGGGCCGATCATTCCAGATCCCCACGAGACCGACCCGGAGACAGAAGAGTTCCGAACCTGATGAGGAGGAGCGCATAAGCGTCCTTGTTAAGAGCCGTCGTCACCGCTGCAGCTCACCCCGTTACCTCCAAGGGACCCCCGACTCAGACTGAGAGAGTCTACGAATACTGGTCAGAATACCAATCAACAGGTGTCAGTTCCCTCATAAATGGACGCAACAAGGGTTCCTACACCACCACCCGGAACGTCGGTGTCCTCCATCAATGTTCCAGAAAAATCAGATACAGCTGCCGTTCATTCCCCTCCAGCGAGGAAATAGCAGAGGATACCGCTCATTGTGGAGCATCTGTCGGACTGGGTGCGCCACTTTAGGGCGTTGAAAGAAAAATTCAGATACGCTCCCAACGCCCGTCCCTATGGCAGAGGTGGGATTCTTCCTTAAGTCGGGGGAAGGGTACCGTGTTACAACGGTACCTCTGCCACTTGGAAAAAATGGAAAAAATCAGCTGGTTTAGTTACCACTTGCCAGCTGACCAGAATCTGAAGGTGGCCATCCGCGGCATCCCAGCGGACACACCAACGGAGGACATAGCCGATGCCCTGACGGAGCTGAGATATTTCCCAGAGTATATCCGCCAGATAAAGCTCCGTCAGGGCTGCACGGGGTGCATATTTTATGCGCAGATTAAGCACACCCCGGAAATCACCCCCGGAATTTACACCGTGGACGAACTCCTATGCATGCCGGGGATTAAGATTGAAGCCTGACGGGGCAAGAAGGGCTCAGCTCAATGTCATAGCTGCTAGAGCTTTCGGCATTCCTCCTATGGATGCCACAAAAAACTAGCGAATAAGAACACACGGCCAGAGATTGCCCTCGACCTAAAGAAGCCCCTCCACCTGTGCCAACTTTGGGGATCAATATATAGCTAACAACACCATCTGTCCGGTGTTTAAGAGGGAGGCTCGCAACAGAAGAGCTGGTGCTGTTGCTAGAACAACAGGCGCCAAGCAAATGGACAAATCAGTCTCCACAGCCACGAGCAAGGACAATCTCATGGCCCCAGCCA